AAATTAGTGATCCCAGTTTAATCAATAACTGAATTCCTGCCCCGGGTTGTTGACCTGGCTCGTGTTTACTCAACACAGTGCCCAGTGTCAACCTGTCCACCCACTGCCTGCTTCAATAGGGCATACCGTTGAAAAATGGGTGATAGTTATCCAGAAATGTACGTATCCCTTTGATTGTACTTTCTTTTCCAAAATTAGCTACTGGCGGTAGTCATGATAAAATTAGTATTAAGTAGATTAACACAGAAGTAAACATTAATTGCAAAAAAATCACAGGAATATGTTTGAGTTACAGTTGTAGTCAAGATCTATCGATTAAATTAATATCTAGGTGAACCTATTGGAAAATGGTTTGACAAAATTAACACCAAATTTGGTTACACAACAAAGATAAAAAAAATCCGTATTGGTTAGTTGCCTAAAGGTATTTATTGGGGTTTGTAATGCAGTACAGCCTAAGAACAATAATTATTTATTAGGTGTACAACTTTGCTTCCGCCGTTTTTTTTCCGAAATTCGAGGCTTTATTGTAAAATACTGGTTATATATTTATAATTCAAAGTATGGTCCATCGCTGGCCACTACTTTCTCCCATCTTTCAGGCAGCGTACAAATCCCGAGTTGAAAAAAATCTTTTGAAGCGATCCACGAATCGATCGAATTTTATACTTTTTCATAAGAATGGAAGTGCTGGTCAGCCAGGCCGGGTGCCATTGATCAAAGCAAGTGATAGTCTGAGGGAGCAAGGTCTGGAGAATATGGCGGGTGGGGTAGGATTTCCCATTTCAACGTTTCTAAGTATGTCTTGACCACTTCGCAACATGGGGTCGAGTATTGTCAGGTTGTAAAATCACTCTATCATGTCTCTGGTTGTATTGCGGCCGTTTGTCTTTCAATGCTCGGCTAAAACGCATTAATTGCGTTCGATAACTATCGCCTGTGATCGTTTTAGTCAGTTATAACAACTCATAATGCACTACGCCGAGCTGATCCCATCAAATACTGAGCATAGCCTTGAAACCGTAAATATTCGGTTTGGCCGTCGACCTGGAAGCATGGCCGGGATATCCCCATGTTTTTCTGTGCTTTGGATTATCGTAATGAACCCATTTTTCGTCCCCAGTTACAATGCGATGCAGAAATCCCTTCCGTCTTTGCCTTGCAAGCAGCTGTTTACAAGCAAACAAACGCCGTTCAACATCTCTCGGCTTCAATTCGTACGGCACCCAATCTCTTTGTTTTTGAATCATTCCCATGACTTTCAGGCGTTTTAAAATGGCTTGTTGATCACTCCCAATGATCCTGCCAATTCTTGTTGCGTTTGTCACGAGTCTTGATCAAGTAATGCCTCCAATTCTGCATCTTCGAAAACATTCTCTCTTCCACCGCCATGCTGGTCTTCGACGTCAAAATCATCGTTCTTGAAGCGTTGAAACCACTCTCGGTACGTTCTTTCACTAATAGCTGCCTCATTATAGGCATTTGAGAGCATTCGATAAGCCTCAGCCGCAGATTTCTTCATATTAAAGCAGAAAATTAAAACCTCCCACAAATGACGAGAATTTGGCTGGTAAGCTGACATGTTTAGTAGAGAATAACTTTGTGATGCAGACATAAATCGACTAATATTTCGATGGCGTTATGTTTACAAATACCTAAGCTTATTATATACCTAAGTATGACATCTACGATCTATTTATTTTGACTACCATTTACCGCTACAGCCATCTATTTCAAAACGGCGGAAGCAAAGTTGTACACCTAATATTATTGAATGCATTTATACATTCAGTTTGACGTGTAGATATATGTAACTTTCAACCCATTTTGTGCTAGTGCCAAAGCGCTTATAAGTAAAGAATTGAATATTTCATAAAATGTTTATACTACTAAGGTGGTAAAATATAAATAACACGAATCCATCGATACGAAGCAGTATTTTAGAAGTGTAAGTTTTCGTAGAATAAGTGTTAATTATTATATAAGTACTATTTACTTTTCATAATGTTCCAAATTATCATACAAGATAACAATGTAATAAAATAGTTTTTGTACCTTATTTTATAATTAAGCCAACGAATTTAATATATCGTAGGATATGTTCTTGGTTTGACTAGTTTAGAGTCCTGTCTTATCCTGTTATCTACCATTCCTGTGACAGATATGATAGATAGGTTAGTTTAAAAGTATTCAAACAGGATATTCAATCCAATGATAACGATATGCATCCCCTCTCCTATTCTCTGTGATGGGGTTGCTTATGTAAAGAAAAGGGAGCCATCGGACCTTAAACTATTTACATTCCTGGACGATGAGGATATATATTAAAAAATTCGTAAAACATTCCACAACAAATTGAAATGTAAGTATAAATAAATATTACAAGAGTATATACCCACATTAATAGTACTATTAGAATTAGAAATGAGATTAGTCCTAAATTTGCAAAATAAAACTTAGCGCAAGCATTTTGGTCAAATTAATATTGTACATTAACGTTTTTATGTTACATAGCCCTCAAGTGAAACTATTAAATTCGGATAATCGAATGAATTATCCATTCTATTCCTTTCCAGCGTTACAATTGCTACCTCATAATATCAACGATGTACATTAGAAGTCTGCGAATGCTTATAAAAGCCGGTAGTTGTCGCGACAACCTGCCGTTAGTGGTACCTGAGATCAAGTATTGCATGCTAATCAGTTCTCAAGTCTCGGCAGGACTTGTAAATTAATTAGCCGTCTCCTTATTGAGAAATATGCTCACGGCTATGATTAGGTACACATTATAATACTTAAGCTATCAACGGTTTACCTATTTGGTTAAATTTACGTAAGCTTATTGCAAGTTTTATTATTCTTTTGTATTATTTATTACAATGAGTTTTACGACGGTTCTTTTGAATTAAAACACCTTATAATAACCAAAGAAGATACATAGGCTCTTACTGGATTTGAAACTCTTGATGGTAGTATCTGTATAATATACTGATACGATCGCTTCTAGAAAATGCTGGATTTAGTGATAGCTATTAAGTTGCAAATATACCAACAAAAAGCGAGTTCGCTGACAACTAGTAAAGTATATTAATTCTATATTAAAGATAATTTTAGCGAATTCACAAGCCACAAATAATTTGTATGTATTGTGATCTAAAACATTTTAAAATTGTTCGGTAAATCCATAATTGTATACATTTCCAAGAGCTTACACTCATGAAATCAATATATGACGTTATTATGTACGCTTATAATAATATTAAATAAAACTGTCAGTAAAACTAACTTAATACAGCATTCGAAAAGCTTTTCTATAAACGACTATTAATTCTTGCTTTAATACACCTATAAATCGGAATAACTGTCTGAAAACCGTGCCGAATCATGATTGTACCTTCCGTGCAGCGGATACTTCGCCCACACTCTCTCGGCGCACCATAGCCATGTCTACTAGTTGCGGCTACAACATCAAAGATACTTTTTGACATTGACATTACGGTTACTGTAAATTCAACTTTACAACTGCATTTATAGAGATTTATTTGAAGTTGATTCCTGAAAATGTATTCGTAAGATTTATTTCGCAGAATCATCTATATCCGATAGTTATGGCGCAACGTGTGCATTTCACAATTCCGCCTACTGTATAGACCACGCCTACGAATCTGTTAATGTTTATATTGTTAATAAACAACATGGATCTTGATGATTAGAGGTTCGGCTACTATATCGATTAAATGATACGCAGCTATATCGTACATAAACAAAATTTTTAAGTGATTGTACCTACTGCTTCTTTAAAAACTACTCTTTAATAATTATTCGAAGTAACCTATCAAGTAGGTCAAAATTATCTCTATTGTAAACTCGGCAAACGAAAGTAAAGAGCAATTGCTAAAAGTTATAAAATGCGGAACATAACAGAACCAGTTATTATTTTTTACTGATACCTGACAAAAAGCAATTCTTGTCAGGACTTGTTCTCAGGTAGAAGGCTGGTACATTCTTATCTTAGAATTGTTTAAAAGATTCTCTTCCAACTTTTTAACAATAGCTACCGGTTATTTTACTATCATTTCCTCTGTTATGAGATAAGCAGCTGTTGGCTATGGAAAAGTGAAATACCTTTTAAGTGCCAGTTGTTAATGAACTGTAAACTTGAGATATTTCTTATCAACGTTTAGCATTTATGGTATACCTGTCACTTAAGTGTTTGATTTCGTGAATAGGGGTTATTGAATGTTTATTTTATGGATATGAATTATTTAAAATGAAGAAGAAGCGTCTAGATAAATTAAGAAGACTATGTATTTTTAGACAATTTATATTTTCTGGATTCCTATTATTAATTTGTATTAGGTGGGGGAACTATATTTTAAGTAAGTAATTCTACATACAGTGTTGCAAGTATTTTCTAACATTATTATTCTCTATTTTTTTCTTTGTACAGAAAGGATGTTTCTTCATATGTTCTGATATTTAAGCAGGCAAGCAGGAAGTATCAATAATGTCATTTTTTTCGTCGATTTGGTACAGACCAAAAGACATTACATATAGTGTCCATTTCATAATATTAATTTCACATACATAAGTAATATTTTTAAATAACTATGGAACATGGATAAAATTTTATTGAAAATATACCATTACTTGGAAGGAAACTGTTATTAAAAAAAAATAGTAAGTGGTTTATAATAAATATTTTATTATTTCAGCAATATTAACTACATATACATTATTATGTTTACTATAAGTTATACTTGCACAGTACTCTGCTAACTACTAAATATCAAAGCATCTATGTATACCTACAATACTACGAAGCAGGCCTATAAATACATCTAGCAAAAACGTGCAAATCGGTCACCAAAATAATGAAATATGATACCTGTGTGTACTAACACTTCTATATCAGCCAGTTCGTGACAAGCGAAATCAATCTGTGTATCAAATTTATCATTTATTGACTTATCATTATCACATTTAAACAAACTTCTTACCTGAATTTGGCTCCTTTTGCAGGTCCAGGTTTTTAAATCCTTTTCTATTGAAAACATCTCTCACAGCTGAACAATTCGTCTCAGCAGCAGATACAGATGCAATAAAAGAAAGAGCAAAGAGTAAATACAATATTTGGCTACTCATTCTTAATCCAAAAATCGATTTTTTGGTATGGGACAGTTCACCACTATAACACTTTTTCACAACCATGTTCTTACAACGTGTACTTCCAATAAACACTTAATTATTCAAAGGTTTCATAAATTTAAGTAACTATTAAAGAATTTTAATTGAAATTGAATAAGCGGTAATGTGTACGCCATATGCACAACACTACAAATCAACTGCGATCCATGGTGGTCGCGACCGGACTGCGTTTGCTATCCGAACCGAAGTAAGCTGAAAGCGAAGCGGTTAATGTTGCCTGTCTTTAATAATGCAACAGAACAATCTAAAAATATTCTACGCATTTTTTTTAATTTTTGACTTACATTGTTTTTCATTCAACTCAACTAGAGGTGACCTTGGGGTTAATGCCAATTTCTTTTTACATCGTTTAGTATTGTAATAATAATATTATTATTAACAATACAAATTGAAAATATACCATATATATACTATAGCATTTATAACGATTATATTGCGCTTTTTTAAATTTTCAATTTAATATACTTAAATATTTAAGTACTTACTACTACCTATTTAAGTACTTTAGCAAGTTGTGATTTACATATATGTACATTTTATTCAGGGATATACATTTTTCCTAAAAATCTCGAAATTATTGTGGAAAATCAGTTCCCGACGAATAAATTAGTATTGACTATTATGATATAGTTTCACGATTAATTCGTAAGAGTGGAATCCTTAGAAATAATTATTACAAAAAGACAATACTATATATTTTAGTGGTATTCATAGTTCTTTCCCCTAAAATTGAGGTGAACCACAAGCATTGGCAAGACCACACTCGCTGTTTACTTGTCATAACAATAACTAATAATCACTTGGCGTATGTATTTCAAAATTCTATTAGTTCTCTCTTCTCAATAAAAGGTTTAGATTTCAAAATGGTATTTGGTTTCTATATATATATGCGAAAAACTAAAGAAATGTTTACTTAGCAAAAAGTCGACGAAAAAAAATTATGTCACTCATAACTGACAAACGTAAATTTCCAGTATAACTGACAAGATGTCATTCCATTGGGTCTATGAAACTATAATTCAAACTGTCAGTATAAGTGTACATCATTGGTTGTTTCAGAGGACTTGCTTGTTGATTTTATTTTTATTTTACTTCTTAACGGCTTGTTTACTCTTTAATAGTTTTTTATTAAAATTTCTTTTTCTCAATTATAACATCGTACTTTAATTACTATCTGTGATTAGGGCAATTATTCTTAAGAATATATTAAACACATTGTTTTGTGAAAATTGTTATCAAAATACACCGATTTCCATAACATTTACATAGTTAACCTTACATAACAGAAAAGTGTTACAATGAGATTTTATCTTTTGAAAACTGTGGCTAACACGATTGCCAGAAGGCAATTTTCAACTACAAATTACAGAAAAGTCACTCATTGTATATTTGATATGGACGGATTGCTTTTGGGTAAGTCTACTACGACCTTACATTTGTTGTCAATGTTAATGTAATGCAAGGTTACCATTTACATAATATTTCTCTTTTCCAAATGGCTTTGGAAGCATTCTTAAGGCGCAGAACACAGCGTAATGTGCCTTTCACTAAATAAAAATATTCAAAATTCTCCTTTAAGTTTTTGTTTGTAAACTTGTTGTTTTATATTACGTAGAATTTTTTATGAAGTATATAAAAATAAATACATTTGTTAATTAAATAAAGCCCATCTGTGTGCTGCCATTTTCCAGTAAATTGTAGCAGATTGTCCAGTAAATTATAAGGCTAGACAACTTCCTGTCTGGAAAGCAGCATAACCTATTTGGTCCAATTGTTATTTAAACCATCCAGTAACCTATTAATTGAGAAATGCACTCCAATGATATAATAGACACAATGATGTCCTGCATGAATTTTTATTTTATTTAAATTTAACCATTTTTTTTCATGTACAGATACAGAACTAGTGTACAAGAAAATGATTACACAGCTATGTGCCAAATATGGTCACAAGTACACCGATGAACTAATGATGAAAGTACTAGGTGGAACTGAGCAGAGACTGTCTGAAATACTGTGCAAGGAACTGAACCTACCGATCTCACCAAAGGAATTTAGAGATCAGCTACTGGTGCTTGGTGACACAATGCTTGCTAATGCACCACTCTTAGATGGTTTGTATTTTTTTTATATGATATCAATTTTAATAACTGGCAACTGTCGCTAATAACCATGAAAGAGCTATCATCATATTATCATAAGCTGCTCAATATGCCACTCATGCACTGCCATTCTGGGCCACTAAGAATTAACACCTCTTATTCAGTTAATACAGTCCCGTCCAATTGATTCCTCATACAATTAAAAAGAGGATCTATATGACGATGGCTTGAGAAAAGGTTCGAACCCTCTAGCAGTGTCGTCAGGCGTGAGTTGGCCTACAGCCGCTCCATAAGTCCTTCCGTGGGTTTGAAATGCCATCTGCACTCGCCCCCTATCACCCAGGCGAACTGTAAAGGCCACCAGCTGCGGCCTATAACATTAGAGTAGTCCAAAAAAAATTAAGGTAGTGATTAAATAATGACAATAATAATACTACCTTACCTCACATTCAAACAAGCTGTTTAACTGAAAGGAGTTTCGCAAAATTCAGTAAAATATAAAGTTCTATTTGTCTAATTTATAATTACAGGTGCTGAAAAACTAATAAGACATTTGCACAAAACACAAGTGCCTTTTGCACTAGCTACATCTTCCAGCGAGAGATCGGTACATACTAAAGTAGCGCACCACAAAGAGCTCTTCAAACACTTCCATCATATGGTTATGGGGAGTACTGATGAGGAAGTCAAGTTTGGGAAGCCGCATCCTGACATATTCTTGGTGGCAGCATCACGTTTTCCTGACAAGCCTGACCCTACTAAGGTTTGACTAATATTAACATTTCTATTATTTTTATTATTATAATATAGCAGCACTTTCTAACTTTGCTGAATCAAAGCATAGGGGAAAGGGAATCCCCCTTTCCCCTATGTTTTAGTTTTTTGTTAGTAATGTATGAAGTCAGGTTGATCTCCACATGGTTGGTTCCCATTGGAAACCATGGTGATAAATTCCTGTTGAATTTGTCACAATAGTCGATAATGACCTGACCTCATATATACACCAAATAAATAATGACATCATCTGCTTCTTCCTTTTCCCATTTATTTGAGGTTAGCATAATATGTCTTTCTCTTCTGTTCATCCCTGTTTAGTCATTTCATTATTTACTGTGTGAAAAATGATATGGTAAGAAAGGGAGTGACTCCTATGCATTACATGCCCATATCACAACAGACGATTCTTCAACTCTCCGACACCGGCGCCACTTTCATACTTCACTTTCCTCTAATGTGAAAACAAACCATATTTTTTTCAGCTTTGTAAAAAAAGTTATTGTTATAAGCTATATTTACTTAAATATTAATATTCATATCACTAGTATGTATTTAATTAACAATTAATATGTCGCTATAAATATTCCAGTGCCTAGTCTTTGAAGATTCTCCTCATGGGGTCACGGCCGGTATATCAGCGGGCATGCAGGTAGTGATGGTCCCTGACCCTCATCTCGACAAGAGACTGACAACGCACGCCACGATAGTATTGCCAACGTTAGCCAAATTTCAACCTCAATTATTTGGGTTGCCAGCTTTTCAGTGATATAGAGTAAGATTAAATATTTTTAGATGAGAATACTTAAGCCAAACTTAAGTGCGTCTTTGAAGTTTGAGTATGTATGATTGAAATTATTGATACTCTGTGGTATTGTTTTGTATATGTCATAATTTTTGTATACAATTCACATATTTAAGGATAAACTGTGTTGCTTAAAAAAATACCTTTTTTTTATAGGAAATGCTGTTTAAAGTTTAGACAATAAAATAGATTTTTCAAAATCATTAAATGTGTGAATTGATAGCTATGTATGTTATTGAAACTTTGAACGATTAAAAAGTCTTTCATATCTAGTCCACTCCATGAAAATGGGCTTATGGCCTAAAAAGTATTTAGAGTAATTAATATTTTTCTATATACTGTTTTTTCTTCAAAGACGCTATAAATTTGAGGCACAAACATAGAGTAGTATTTTGCGCTGTTTTTAAAACAAGTGTGATATATAGTCATAGATATTTAGAAAATAGTAGCAATGTAGTTGTTTAATTGTTGTACTTATGATTATGCCTTGTTCACTATATGTTTTTTACCTTGTCATTTCTATGACATCTCCTGTGTAATAGGTTCAAAGGGTGCTGTCCACAGCAGCTGCTATTGGGTGCTATTTTAACAATTTTAATAAAATTTCTATTACTACGATTTTAGAGTCCAGTTAGTTCACTAGAGTTTTTATAGAGTAATTTTAACGATGTACATTGTATATACTACAGTCACCCACATACGCGTAGAATAGGAATAGTAGTATGGTTACTACCTAATTCTATTTAAAAAATTAAGTAATTTGTAAATAAATATTTTTTATGACATCGAAAAACTAATATGGACAAACCCCCTTAGACCAATGGCAAACGAATTTATCTATGTTACGGTTATGTTCCACCGACAAGAGCGTAGCTCTTAAATTATGAATGAATGAAACGATTATGTTACGTTCAACCACGCATAAGATAGAAAGTGACAGCAATATCTTCCATATTGTTCTAATACGTATGGTAACATAATCCTTTTGCCACTGACCTAGACAGGACTTGTTAGGGATATAATTTTGTGATTAGTATTTCGTGCTGTTTTAATTATTATAATATGTTTTAAGTGTATTCAAAAAATCGATTTCTTCAGTTAAAAATTACTATTAATTGATGTATAACACAATTAACAATATCTTTGTGATGATTGTCAGTTATTTCTCAGTAAACGCATCATGGCTAGTTACAATGCTCTTCTAATCGTTAGGGCCATCTTGTTTCTATAACGTAATTTAGAAGACACTTGGAAACTTATCTCAGAAATAAAATAATGCGATCTGATTGGCAGATCTGAAATAAGTACAAAGTATTTTGATATAAGTATCAGAGGATACAGTTCTATCTACATATTTATACACCAGATCCTTTGTAAGGGAAGATAGATAAATAATTTGTTTGGCCTCGGTGGTCTAGCTGTTTAGTAAACGGCCTTACAATAATAGTGGGTTCGATTCTCGAATGATATAAATATTTGTATTTGGTTTCATGGGTATGAATGTTTGTATAGATCAGTGTTTTCTGAAGTTAAAAAAAAATGTTAAGCACAAATAGTACAAGCTCTGCTGTGTTTGGACTGAATAGTGCCGTGGACTTGTCCTGGGTAAATAATTTGCTCATTTCAATATAAAATCTTCCTATAAAGAAAATGGTAAGTTATTGAAACTTCTTGTATATAAGGAGCTTCGAATCAAGGGTCTTACAATCGTATGACTAGCGTTTATTCATAAGGCTACCAAGCCAAATCTAGTAAGAATGTCACTTCTAGATTATAAAAAAAAATTGTTTTCCCCGCTATAACATGTGTATAGTCTACTATACTGCGCGAATTGTGGTTATTACTTTGTTATGTGGTGTTGTTACATAAAATTTATAAAAAAAATATTTTGGTGTTGCCAGCAAGATGGTGCCATTGAAAACATGAATATTGCTACTGTAATGGCTGAATCGAAAGTATTATTTTACATCTTCATGTGCCATGAACGTCACAGAAAAATGCGATGTCTGTTTTAATTTTTGGGGTTTCATGTTTTACGGAAAGGCAAAAATTCTCAGCTTATACAGCCATTGTCTTTGGTCCGGTTATCATATATACATCCGACGTTAGACATAACTTCAAATAAGCAATATGTATAGTCGTTTATAACACGACTATGATTTTGAGTGCAGTTTGAGGAAAATTTGCACTTACAAATTGTATCGGATGTAAAAATCGAGCCTTAATCATATTAATATACTTTATTGCAAATATAAGTGAATATATTTGTAGAAAACTGTTTTAATTGTTTATAAATCTGTTAGTTTATAATTGTCTTTAAATATAATAAATTATTTATTTCTTTACATTGATTGTTATTAGTACATACCCGCGACCGACCCCGACCACGCCCTCACTTCCCATCGGTATTTCAATCAATTTACTCAAAACCTTCACAAATTTTAAACCTAAATCTACCCTAGAACTCACACTGCTGATGCATGAAAATCCGTTCAGTAATTTTGATGTTATGTTGAACAGCATTTCTATTTAAGGGAAACAAGGCCTGGTATAGTTTTAAATGATTCATAAAAAGGCGTACTATAAATGGTCAAAAACATGGAAGATAACATTCCTAGTTTAAATGAAATGCCAACAAACTACTTATTAATATATTTACATAATAAATAACCAGACAATTCTTTCATTTGACGAGTTGTTTCAGAGCGGATAATACGTCGCCAGCTGATAGGTTGGTAAGTGTGGCGCTGCGCTCGACGCCTCTCTCTGAAATAATAATAATCTAAAATATTATATATATTACAGTATATATCTATAGTTATTGTTGGCAAAAGACTACTGAAGTGACATTATCTTTTACTATTTATCTTAATGAAAATAATTATACTAAATATTAGCTACTAAGTAAACACATGGCAAGTTTTTTATTTATTTAATGAACATTCCGCCTTAGCCTAGCCATAACTAGTATAATTATTGTTGTTCAGCAGAACCTGTTATGTTGTGTAGGATTGTTGTACAGCCTTATTCTTCTCTATTAATATTTAAAGAGAGAGTGCACATTTTATTATGAGAAAAGTAAACTTTGGAACAACTACCAATTGAGAATGTCTTTCACTGTTTGTTAGATATATTATACTAATAATAACAATCACAAAGTTATAAGCACCCAAGTAAAGTATTTGTGTGTGTATAATGGGCAAGTCATAATATACTATATCAGGTACTTCACAAAGTCCCCCTAGGATACCATCAAGAGAAATTTCTGGTGAATTTTTCATAATAGGCTAACTGACCTAACCTCATGATCATATTCTAGTAGTGTCCTGTTAGCATTAAGTGGTGCACCATTCCATTATCATACATTAAAAAATATATACAATTGGTAATTTTGAAGAGTACTAACATCTACAGAGATACAATTTCTATAAACAATAAACAGGGCCGGCAGAAATGGGCATGCAACGCATGTGGAGCCTGCAGGTGCCTCATCAAAGGGGGTGCCATCAGGAGATTCGGATATATACTATAATTTTATTAAAATATAGCCTTTATAGAATACTTAATAAATTACAATAAATAATCTAACTTAACTATGAATATGGAGACATAAACCGTGCTGGGATAAAAATTGCATGCATGCGCTGAGGACCCTAGCACCGACCCTGCCAATAAACTACAGTAAATAAAATGGTACTTTATTTAATCAGTGATCTCAACACTCCCATTACTTCATTGCTGCTCATGTCTGTAAGAGGCATGCATACCTCACAACCTTTGTCTGTAATAGTTAAATAGTTTATAACTCAGCATATTATTGAAACTTGTTAAATTTATATCTGGCCATTATTAATTGAAGATATTAAAACTAGAATTCTATTTAAAGAGAGTGATTCTTGTCTTCTATTGATCGTTGGATTTTACTGTGGACATATTGTGTGCTTACTAATTATATACATATTTTATTTTTGTATTACAATATATTTATTTACACTGCGGATTAAACCCGTACACTATCAATTGGAAAAAATAATAAAATTGTAGTCTACTAATCAAGCTTGTAAGTTATAAGGTTGTGGTGTAGTTTTCTACCCAAATTCGACACAAAAAAAAACCTAAATTAATTCGGTATATTACCGTATGCAATAGTAGAATAGCCCCATAACAAAATATGGGTATGCCAAGTTCTATACTAACTACTATAGTGACATTTAATAATGCTTTTGATTACCGTATCTGGGATAATAGTCATGAAGATTATTATTGTCAAGTGAATACCCGTTACTTATAAAGAAATTAATTCGTAGATAACTAACTGTTTTATTATTATTATATTAATAAAAGTCATTTAGAACATACCATAACGGGCCCAGATACGAGGCTGGACGCCACTGCATTCGCGGATCAATATCGGGAAGTTGGGATTCTCCTTCTTGATATTAACATAGTTTTGCTGGATGAACTCTCTGTAAATTACATACAGTTACTAATTTTTATTTCCAAAGCATTGAGGTTATAAAAATGTTTATGTAATCAATAACATACCTAACACCCGCCGATTGTTTGCTTGTCTGGCACAAATGTATTCTAAGTTCTTTTAATGCTCCACCCAAACGAACAGACATTTTTATTTATTTATCTAAAGCTTGAAATAAAATTTATAGTTCTCGTAGTAGTAAGATAAATAATTTATATTTGTGTCAAAAATCAAAATGTCAATATTTCATGAAACTGTCAACGTCTATATGGACTGTCAAAATAAAAAAAAGAACTATTAGTAACTGACCATGACTGACAATTCATTCGCGGTATTTTTAAAAATATCAAGTTAAGAAATAGAAATGTGGAAATATCTGAATTACGTCACACTTTCATAATTTTTTAACCTGTCTTCCTTTATTTGTATCAAAATTCGTTCGTATTTAAAACTCAGATAAAAAAATATACGAAAGTGACGTTACGAAATTTAGGATCCCTTTCACTCACACTGTTACACTATCTCATAGATTTAGCTAAATAGGTGAATATTATTTATTAGTTTTAAATATTTAGCTTGGTAGTCGTGAAAAGTTTACAATAAAACAGTTTAAGTAAAAGAGTTTGGCCGCAGGTTCAGTTCGAATCCACATTTTTTATCGTTAAGGTAGTCTTGTAATAAATAATAACAAAACAGCTATTTTATTCAACAATTTATTGTATTTTAATACATCAATTTCATCTTTTGTACATTAAAACTAAGTACCATTGAGTACCAAACAGTAATTATTAATTTCAACGTTATTCTAAAAGCAACAGCACTTTCAAGAAATTTCCATCAAACAGAGAAATTAATGAAAATTAGTTAACATATTTTATTCATAGGGTTATGGGCAATATACACACAGATCAAAATGTACGCTAAAGTAAAAATCGGATTTTTATCATTTAAAGTACCCATAGACGTAGCCATGTGTAGGCAGAAGAAAACCACTTCCTATAACCAATTGTAGAAAGTGTCGTATTTTTTTTTTAATATCAAGCAAAGTCGTATTTACATGTACCAAACACATTAAATCGGGCTGCGATGTTTGGGGCAAGAAAAACGCTTGCCTCCTACGACTAAAATTCTAGCTACACTGCATGGTTACATATACATGGTTATGAGTAGTAATAGTGCGTACGATCTGATCACCTGTTATGCTCCGCGCGTTAGAATACGCAGCCAATGAAAAGCATACAAATCACTAATAAATAAAATGTAAAATATTCTTATAATAGCACAGTCTATATGATATACACGAGACCACTCTATAACATATCTGCACATTTGGATAGTATTTTTTGTTTTAATTTCTCAATGTTAGCGATGCGCAACTTTCATTCAATCATTTCACCTAAAACTTCAAATCCATTGCGACTGCTACATAATGCATAACATTATTGTCTAATATCATAAAATCATTCATACCCATTAATTGATATATTATATTTATTCCATTATAAAAATATATAATAAAATATTTTAGCAGTCGAATTTCCACATTAATAAATACTAATCAATCAAATAACGAACTAATACGAACGAGCGCATCACTATTGACATAAGTGCTTCAATATGTAATGTAAATAATTTTTCAATAAACCTTATGTTGTAAGTTCTTTTACAGCAGAAAAGAAAAATGTTGGCTGCCATTCGCACCATTGAATAACGCGCGGAGTATAATTACCTAATCATGCACGCCATATTTAAATATGATCAGTGACTGACGCAATTTTGGCGCCAAAATTGACTTGTACAATTTTCTTAAGGACAGTGAATTAAGATTTACGTTGTTTGTATGCGTTATTGTGTTATATAAATATGATGCAAAAAGGTCAAATGGAACTATTAATGATCACAGGTAGCGCTTAGTAATTTAAAAATCATCCGTTGATGTTTAATTGTAACTTAGAGACTAGTTATAATGAAAGATGAAACTTTTAACAATCCGTCAAATTTCACATATCATAACAGTGGGAATTATAAATGAAAAATATTTTAAAAAGAATTCGTGTGCCTTTTTCTGCAAAGCTACAGTCTGAGACGTTGACATTACTTTTTATATGAAAAATCCAGATATCTATTATTTTTACTAAGAAAATTCACGGTATTTAAGTACATAATCATTCCTATTTCTTAATATGTCTGTTTAGTGCATCAAAATAATTAAATAATGACGAAGTTGGCTGTGATATAAAATACTACTTATGCTTCTGCTGTTCATAATAGTAGGTATATTATGATGGTAATAACACACGACGCAGAATTTCAGCCCGAAGCGAAAGCAGGGATGTAATAGAGCTGAGTGTGTTAAATACGCATGTATATCGTGTATCGTTTTTCTGCACACTTGATTTAAAAATAAAAGAGCAAATAGTGCGGTTATGGAATAGAACTGCACTATTTGCATATATAACGCACACGTTGTTTTATGAGCTGCTTTATATATCGAAAACTGGTGAAATTAGATCCACTCTACTAGCAAATGTGTTGAAAATACCTTTAATAACATACACAAAAATATAATTAATAACATACACATATTTATACTATATTTCTACTAACATATACAATGTGTTTTGTCGTTTGACGGGGAACCCATTTTCCCAAAATCTATAAAGTAAGAATGCCAGACTATTAGAAATGGAGATATTATGGAGCACTGGAGAAACAAATACATATATTATTGTATAACTTTAAATTAAAATGTTTATGCCGAATTTAGCGCCATCTAGGGGATAAATGTAAGACATAGTGGTCTCTCTGAACCGCCCTTACTTTGTATTGTGGTTTTCCCGCCCAAATTAAATTTATAACCATCAATACTTAATTTCATGCCGACATTAAATTACTTTTGCATTCCGATCAACACTTATTATAAATGGATATAATTTTATAAAATAAACTACTGACATATCAACACACAGCTAATAGTGATATATATATTTGTACATTATTTTTAAATATAGATAAAATTTCTTCATTGCGAACTAATTTTTAGAAATATTTGTTGAAACAGTAAATATAATACTTCACTAATAGTAGTGATGAGAAAATAATTATGTTTCGTAACTATATATTTAGGTTCCCAATTTCTTTGTATATTACAAAACTGTTTTCTTAAGTTCCCACGGGTATGGGAAAAGTCAGGTTTCATGCAAGAGAAGGCACAATACTTGTCTTTAATAAAATACATAGGTACAGTTGTGAAGTCGCAGATACACTGTAGCTTATTAATTAGTAATTATTCACAACGCTACTTGATTATGCTCTTGAAAATTTATGGAGTAATATATAGTAATTTCTGAATAGCTATTGATGCTCTTAGATATAGATCTATAGAGCTCTCAAGAGTATTCAAAACTGCAGCTCTGTCAAAATAAGGCGCACATACCAATTGCACATCTTCCTTTTTAATTGCACACAAAATAATTATTGAACTGCCGACATATTACATTTAGTATTTAAAATTAAAAAAAATATACAGTTTAAAATGACAAATGATTTGAATGTATTAAAATAATGACAAAAACAAAATTCTACTAAAAACCTCCAAGCAGACCCAATAAAGGAAAATGTAAACAAACTAAGCATTAATACTAAATAAGTAATATCATTAGTGTATATACATATTTACATCTTAATTTTATATATTTTCCGTTGTTCTATTCTATAACGTAAGAACCTTGTTGAAAAATTCGAAAAAACGTTAAAAATATCTTTTAACAGGAAAAAATACTTTTCCTTCAATTAAATTTATACCCTAGTGAAGGTAATAATAGTAATAGGATTGAATCAACAAGAATCTACACTAAAATTTAAACTAACGGACGAATAGTTCAAGAGCACTATACAGTAAAGTGAAATTATCACCATATGTATTCACTCACATAATGTTGTAACTGACTCGAGCTCGTGAATACAACTCTGTGTTGTGTACTGTTATATTTTCTGTACTCACTCTTACAATATTGTAAACTGTTGGTGTCCATATCTAAATGTTCTGTTCTAATTGTTACAATGATGTTAATATCTGGTGCATAACATCATGTCTACTTTCTTACTCACTTGATGGTGCATATCTCCACATATATTATATATTGATGCATTTAGTCAGCTACTCAACTCGAATATGATTAATATTGCGAACCACTCAACTGTACACAGCTCTAGACTGTAAAGTACAATACGCGAGAGCAACAATAGAATGTAAGTCCACAAGGTGAGGACTAAGTTGCGTTCACGGCATTCTGTATCCACGTGTATGTGGACCCTCGCATCATAGTGCTGGTAGCTGTAGGGCGTCAGCTAGCCGGACGCCGCCTCTAGGGCTTTGACCCCATCCGCAGTGAGACCTTGCTTCTGACACCATTCAACAAAGTCGTCTATCAGGACTGGCCATGCACCTTCTGCATCATAGTTGCTCATACCGTCGTCGATTTGTGTTGCAAAATCTAATAGCAAATTCCATGTGTCTTTTGGTATAGATCTTTTGTGGTTATCCTGTAATTAAAGGAATTGATAAATTGAATAAATGGTATATACATGCCTTGTCTAGGCAGTTTAAAGATTCAAATGACTTGACTTTCCTTTTAAGAACTATGATGGGAATTGGTGTGTCATGGGATTTAACAAGAAGCTAAAGTTAGGTCACAGACACAGTAGCATTGGATTTCTAGGCAATATTGACAAATATGCACTAATTATACAACTAAATCCTACATCAGTATTAGGTGATGTATATTATGTACTCAATTAAAATACGGAAAGACACCTATTTTAGTTTAGTTCATTCTATATTTACCTGCCTATAGGATTTATTTTTATGTAATTGGTATGACCCAAAAACTGATTAACAATAGTATCTTTACAGGACACTCTTTCACACAATCCAGAAGGGCGTGTGATTTAGCGGTGGCACTATGTTTAGTGGAAAGATTCATTATTTAGTAACAACATTCCTGCAATCAGTTATTAATACATCTTGCCAATTGGCAAACAATCAAATGCACTACTTTCCTTTCGAGAATGAATTTAAAATTATAATATATATTAAATTATATATTCTCTCACACCATGATATCTGATATAAGATTTTTTTTAGTCCTAAAGTGGAGTATCTCAATATAAACACAGTAGTGGAAGAGATAAAACACTGCTGCTTCAAATACAAGACAGGGCTAGTAAATCATCCTAATGTGCTGGCCAACTAACTGTTAGTCCCTGACAACATACATAGCCTTAAAATGCATAGGTTACTGGAACCCAATGACTGATCAGGACCACCTAAAGAGACAAAGTTCTGGTGTCACACTCTACCCGTGACAATCTTTGCCACATCCGTTCATAGTTTTCGACTGATAGCAAGATGAACATACAAAAAAATTAAATTATCCCAAATCCTTAATAAAAAAAAAGCAATTGTTCAATAATTGGCAGCTCTAGTCTATTTAAATTCATTATACATATTACAGCATTATTGCTGATTGTCAAAGTAGAATTAACACAATAAATATATAGCTGATGTTGCAGTTTATATATAGCTGATGACAGACAGCACTAGTGATGTTACACAGCTTGACGGGTTTTGGTGGACTAGCGGTTGAACACACCTCCTTAATTCCGATGGTTGAAGGTTCAATTCCTAGCATGGTACAAACATTGTATGTATACAAGAATTCATGAGCATGAATCTTTGTATCAGTCTAGTGGTTTTCCATGTATATTATGAATGCATTTTTTAAAGAACAATGTATATATGTATTCATATCAGTTATCTAGTTAACTATAACACAAGCTTTGCTTATGTTGGGACTAAATGATGCTGTATGAATTGTCCCAATATTATTATTACAAGTTGTAAAAAAAATAACTGCGCAAGTGGCCGAAAGTATCCTATATGAGTAAATCACTCTGACTTTGATACTACTACGCAAAAATATTGAAGAAACTTAAAATAACAGCAATTATAAATATACTATATCTATACAAACCGTTAGGAATTTACACCAAGCGTCCAGAAATTTAAACCTTCCCCTGAGTACTATATTCCAATAAGCTATAGCCATATCAAGATCCAGACCTTTCTGACCAGGATTCTTTGCATAATTAAATGTGAAATGATAAAAATCTTTGAATTTGTTTGCATCCTTAATCTCTGTTTCAAGCGTTGGCAATTTTGCTTTTAATTTGTCTACACTGTCTGCTCCTAGCTCAAAGAGGCCCGTAGTGAACTCGTCCTTCGTAAATTCACACTGTACAGCCGCTTTACATTTCCATGCTATGATTAAAACTAATATAGACTCAGGGCATAGATTGAGGTCTTCCAAAAACTTCATTACTCCATCTACTGTTATTTTATCATTCTCCTGTTGGTCTCTGTACTTCCCAAATAACTGTTCTAATTTTTTTCTATCAACTGAAGTCTTTACTGGGTCCTTGTAATACGCTTCAGGATTCTGAAAGTAATTGTCACTCGCCAGATCAAGTTTCCAGTCGTTCTGTGACAGACAATATATCGCCGTGGTCTCACTCGTCTGCGTGAATGCGACGAACTTTTTAACTTTGTCTCTCTGTGACGATTTTAGTTTATTCTGAAAGAAAATGTAATAATGTCATAACCTACTAACACTAAACACTTTCGTTCTATGAAATGATATATTTTCATAAATAAATACTATTCCTTTTATGATGTTATGAGAGTCGTAGAATATATTTTGGTATGATTACTCACCATTTTCGATAGATTATTATTATTTTCTATGACTTTCACTGTTATTTCGACATCTGAACCAAAGTGAAATAACAATCATAGTATCGTAGAACTTTTATTTAGGGGAGTGTTTCTGTAGTACAATCTAGAACTCCCTAGTTCTATTTAATTTCAATCAAATTATAAAACATAAATATTTTAACCAGTTTAGTTACTATTCATTATGAGTTAAAAATTATATTTATTATGAGTACTATGTATTAATAGTAATAAAATAATATTGTATGACATGTAAATAGTTTTTATTTTAAATAATTCCTAACAAAATGGGTGCATGATACACATAAGCAACATTAATATTTAGTCTGTGTATCGTTTATGATTAAATTTTAGATCAGTATTTTACACCACAATATTCTAATTGTAATTTATTTAACATATCATTATATTATGATTTTACATAATAAGAAAATGCTTAATGTAATTTGGATTTATATTTTTTTTTGAAGGCAATACATTTCTGAACTGAAGCAAGTAATAAATCTAATGTTCCTATCGATGATTTTAGGGGATTTTCCTTTAATTTAGGGGAAATAAAAAATTATATTCCATTTCATATTGTTTTAATTTAAGTTTCTTAATTTCTGAGCATATTCTTTCTAATAAATAATTTAAACTACTATTTGTAAAATAATTTATGTTACATTTATCATTGTGTCAATAAAGCAGGAATAAAACTCTTAATTATTGTAGTGAAAAATATGGCTATGATTTTATGGTTTTGATGAATTTTAAGTATTTAAACGACAAGAACAAGATAATCAGATCGAATTAATTTATGAAGTTGGCAATTCGATTAAACAGCTGATTGCTGTCAATGTCGACCATATTCCGAGTTCCTGACATTTTTGACATTGTTTTTTTAACAACAAAACATAACCTCTAATTTATTCTTAATTACAGTTTTACGTCTATTTTCAGATCTGCTATATAGTTCATAATAATGCAATGTATACATATTTAAAAGTATTATATTGTAATATAATTTTGATATAATGCGACTAAATATTTTAAATCGTTTATTGGTTGTACCAACCCGTAAGGCTTGTAACATTAGAGGGCTCGCAGAGAGACCTAGAGTCAGGTTTGCGCCAAGTCCTACAGGCTACCTGCATCTTGGTGGCTTGAGAACAGCGCTATACAATTACCTATTTGCAAAATCTCAGAATGGCGTATTTATATTACGAATAGAAGATACAGATCAAACGAGAAAAGTGGAAGGATCTGTCGATGCGTTAATAAATGATTTAGAATGGGCTGGGATTGAATACCACGAAGGGCCTGGTAAGAATACTGAATGCGGACCTTACATACAAAGTGAGAGATTACCTATTTATCAGTGAGTAAATTGAAATGTTTTAAAATTGTTTATAAATTCTCTTTTTAAATGACGATCTAAAATATTTGTTCCTGTTGTCATTATGTCTCAAAAAAAGAAATAAATATTAATAGTCTCTGTGAATCTGATTAACTATTCTATTTTTGAAATCCTAATTTGAATCTCAATATATTTCAGAGAACACATAGCAGAGCTGTTGAAGAATGGTTCAGCATATAAATGTTTTTGTACAGAACGCCGTCTGAATGTACTCCGCAGGGATGCAGTAAAGAGCCAGAGAATACCAAAATATGATAACAAATGTCGCAGTCTTAGTGAACAAGAGATTAAAGACAAAATAAATGCTGGCATTCCTTATTGTATTAGATTTAAGGTGCTAAACTAATACACATTGTCCTAAGTTTTATGTCATATAATTTCAATTTTAAAATTTTATATCAATAATCTCATAAAATTTAAAGAGTAACTTACAGTATTATGTTCCGATTGGAGAACTCACGCCCATGAGTATGTACTCTCTTTGAATTTATGTCTGATTGATGGTGTTATGGCCATGTCCAATCTAGTCATAATTCAGGTTCACTTTCAGTGATTTGAGCTTGTTTTAACAAGTGAACTCTTTCTAGACTTTGATAGCAACAGGCAATTTGTGCAATAGGATGTGATATGATGTAATTTACTGTCTCAATGTCTCAATATAAGTTTAGAGCAACAACTTTTAAAATTCATATTATTATTACGAATTATAGTCATAATCAATCAAATTTAGCCAATGTCAGTTATTGATAGTCTTTTATATGTGAAAAATATTAAAATCAGTTCAGTATTTTCTAGTTAATCCATTACAAGCTTAAGAGGAAAAAAGAGAAATAATAGTATTCATGGACAATTCACACAGCGCCATCTAGTTCTATACTGAGCAGAGCTTGTGTTATGGGTACTAGACAATATATAGATAATGATATAAATATCTATGATTTTTTTTGTGTAAATACATACGTACTGTGTACACATATGTGTAAACATCCAAACTGATACAAACATATTTACTCATAATACAAACATTTGTACCATGCGTAGAGTCGATGCCGCGACCATCTGAAGCAAGGCGGTGTATTAAACCGCTAGATTACCTATGCGTCATAAATGCTTGAAATTGAAAACAAAATAAATGTATCTACAGCTCACATCAGAATGCCAGACCTTTGAAGATATGATATTTGGCGGAATCGCTTATGACGTTTCAATGAATGAAGGTGACCCGGTCCTCATGAAGAGCGATGGGTTCCCTACATATCACTTCGCGAACGTAGTCGATGATCATCTGATGGCCATCACCCACGTGTTAAGAGGTGTCGAATGGCAAATATCTACAACCAAACATTTGTTGATTTATAAGTAAGTATATATTATCTGTGTTATTACACATTTATGACATGATTTTGCATTTTTAAATATAGTGTAATACATTAACAGTGTTACAGCCACATTAGTAGTTTAGTAATACTAGCTGTGACCTGGGGTGTTGCTTTAGTAATTTATGTTAAAAAGTAGGTATGATGTTTGTCTAAAATATGATCTATCTGTATATCAAAGTTGATTCGGATTTGTCAATCACATTTGCGTTTAAAGCAAAACAACAATATAGCTGTGCTCACAAACTCATCATCAAATGTCAGATGGTACTCCAACTCCAAACCCATATAAGGACTTATGGAGCGTCTGAAGGTCAACTCCCGCCTTACTATCCGTCAGGCGACTAGCCTGCGGCCGCCGCTAGAGGTTCGAACCTCGGTTCGGGCCGTAGTAACTTTGATCGCCGTTTGAATTGAATGGGTGATTGATCGGAGAGAAATATTTATAATATTAGTACAGGTATGGATAAGGTCAGCCAGGGGCATGTCAACTTTAAGTCGTGGTGAGTGCTACACTTTATATACCCACGTTTCGCTATATAATATTACTCTCATTTTATTTCTTTTTAATAAGCTTTTTTTCGCAGGGCGTTTGGCTGGACTCCACCACGATTTGGACATTTGCCTTTAATAGTGAACGCAGACGGGACGAAACTTAGTAAGAGACAAAGCGATGTCAAAGTGGAAGATTACAAGACAAAGGGTAGGCTATTAATTTTTTTTTATTGAAATGTTATGTTGGTTAGGGAATTAATGATGCAGACATAGATTAATGACACATCAATACAATAGACTGCTCTGTGTTTTAGCGGTTTACACATATTCGCCTGCCTTCCGTTGGTTGTTAGTTTTAGAACAATAAATACGTTTGTATTTATGAGTATCTTTGTTTATATTAGTCTGCGTGCTTTACTTTATTTTTATATTCTGATTATTTAGAAGATAAGTAAGTTGTGCAATGTCCAGTGGACTGCAGTGGGCTGATGAAGATGATGATTATGATATAAGTTCTGCTTGCTCCCTAGATCTTACACTATTCTAAAAAGTCTTTCTTTTGTCTTTCCAAGCATTGAAAGAAGCGACGAAAATGTATGTCTGGCTTAGGCTCAAAAGATATTTAATCTTTTGTAATATTACATAAGGTCTACGCAACCTCTCTCTGCCTTTCCCATATCTGTTTGAGTAACTTGTAACAATTCTGAACTTTTTTTATTACTACAGGAATTTATTCACTAGCACTGGTTAACTATATTACTTTATCCGGTGGGGGTTTCGATCACGTACCTGGTGCTGGGGTCAGGATAAAGAGCATGGAGGATTTAGCGCAGGAGGTATGAATCAAATTCACTACTTTACCACGTAACTGTATAATATGTAAATGTAGAAAGTCGTAATTATAAAATCACCAACTCTTATAATAGACGGTGAAGATAGTTCAAAATTTTATAAATAAATAAATCTTTATATGTTTAGTTTGTAAAGTGTGTACAAGGTACACAAATCCTAAGAACAGCAATATTGCCTGCAAGGGAACCAGGAAGCTTAGCTTATGGGAGGAGTTTGGCTGACTACTTTAATCTTGATTGTACACCCCACAACAGAAAGCAGAAAACAGAGTTCAATTAATATTTGACAACCTCGTTGGTCTAGCGGCTTAGCACATCGTCTAATGGTGGCCGCAGGTTCGATTCCTCGCACAGTACAAACTTTTCTATTAATGAGTATTGTTCTGAATGTATTGTATTCATATGATGTATATGGACCTTGACTACGTATTAAAAATATATATATATTTTTAATACATTGTCCAGGTTATTATTATTTTCATTTTTGTAGTGTTATACATATAACACATACAAATGTATAATAAATAGTTTTTCTTCTATAGTTTCAGATCGACAGAATTTCATCACGTCCGAGTCGACTCAACCCCGACCTTTTAGAAGAGTGCAATAGATTAGAAATAAAACGGCAACTACAAGACGAACAACTCTCAAAACAATTGTCGTCGAAACTAGAAAAGTTGATCGTAGAAAAATATCCGGAACAGAATAAGAATGTAACAGAAGAGCACATCAAGTCCGTATTGAATTGGGCTACAGCGAGAGTGACAAGGATAGAAGATTTAACCTCCTCCGAATTCGGTTTCCTATGGATTCTTCCATCAAACGCCCCGACTAACTTCGACAGGGATTTGCTAATTAAATTAATAGAAAGTTTGGGGGAAATGGAGAGGTTTGATCAGGAATACCTGAAGGATCGATTAAGGGAATTCTCATCGAGTAATAACGTGAAGTTTCCAGTTCTGATGAAGACGCTGCGATCGGTGCTGAGCGGCCTCAAGGAGGGCCCGGGTGTTGCCGAAATGATGTCTCTATTGGGGAAGGCACAGTCGTTGGATAGAATAAAGGCAGTTATTAGATAATTTTGTGTTTCATTTATTCCTATATATGAAAAAACCAAACGTAATACTGGTAGAGTACTATTCCATGGGCAATAAATATAGTTAATAAAAATATATATATGTAGGTGTATATTGCGAGCTAATAAATGAGTTAACGAAAAATGGCTATGTGGTCGAAGTCAGAACGAAAGGAATACTACCAAAATCTCTTAGAAATAGTAACGCTCTAAAGTTAGAACATCATGAAGTAACTTTTTTTTTATAAGATATGTATAGGAAATGAAACAAAACAATATGAGTAACAGTATAATTTATTGAATTCCCAAATATAAATACCGAGAGAAAATATTTGTTCAATCAGGTTCAAAACAGAGTTTCTCGCTGATACAAAATATTAATATATAAGTTATACTAAACTAACAACATTCTATGAAATATTCATCCATGATGTAGAGTGTAAAATAACAATTATACTTTAAACAATATTTAAATAATTAAAACACTAAAAATTTAAATAATGTAATTGTCAAAATATTTATTTTATTTATATCAAATAGAGACATAATGATATAGAAAAGAAAGTAGATATATATTATAACAACTATATGAAAAGCTAGCTGACTCAAGCAGCTTCGTCAGATGTTTTATATATTTGCTACATTTTATATTGCTGCTCCGCTCTTATTAGTCGTAGCGTGATATTGTATATAGATAATATCCAATATCACGCTACGCTTCAATACTAAAATAATTTTTAAATACGAACCAGCAGTTCCTGAGAATTGTTCTAGCGTATTCAACCAACCAAAGTCTGCAGCTTCATGTATGAGTATAGATTTAGACTCTTCTAGGAAAGCAGGTCAGATTGAGTTATTTAGTAAAGATGTAAAATTGGATTGGTTTAATACATTCAGGTATGAATAGAGTTGATAACTGGTGAAAACTTTTTGAAATTTCATATTAACTACAACATATTTTTTCTCTACATCATAGATCTCGTACAAGAAGTTACATCTCAGTGGTTGCACATCTGGAATGTTTTGCAAATGCAGGAGTATCTATTATATTATTTGTCACTGATGTTTATTGTTTTAAATGGATAATAAAATAAACTTGCATGTCCATTTATATTGACTGACTCCTTATTTTTATAGCTGTCATTTTAGTTTATGGTTGACTCTATGTTTATACTTTTTTTTCGGTTAACGTATTTAGTCTCTATAACATAAGGAAAGTCACAACTCTTATCCTTGATTATTCAAAGATACATAAAGGTACTAACTGTATCAACTTTTTACATTGCATATTTGTCATAGTTATCATATATTTTTGAGGGATTCGTCCTTATGCATCCACTTCTCTGCATATTAAAACTGCACAGCAGGGCATATTAAGATAAAGACCTGTAAGTAATTGGTTGTTTCTATAGATAGTAAGCTCTATTTGTCCTTATCAATAGGCCGTTTTTTATTTTAAATAAGAGATAGAGCGGTATAGCGGGCATCACATAATAAGCTGATATCCGTAGTGCTGTTCATATATCATATATTTGTCCCTATATATTACATATATACATAGGAATCTTGTTAATCCATTAGGGCAAAGGGTTTCGCCCCGAGGCACCAGCACCTACCCTAGAGGGGTACAGATGACCAGTGTCAGTCATATCTAAGCGACACGACGGTTACCAATCACCTTCTGATAGGCTTTCAGTTTGTTTACCATTTCAATTACATAAAAAATGTGGTTTATTACAAGGTGGGCAAGACAATAAAATAGAGTTACTAAGTGTTTTTTATGACAAAGAATTTTTTATCACCCATTTTATGACACTAGATTCCCTTTTTCTTATGATGTGCAACCTTCATACAGCCATTTATCGTTCAAATATCAATACAGGTACATAACACGTATGTAGTCCGATACAAAATAATTATATCGTACTTAAATCAACTAAACCAAATAATTGAGCAAAAATTTTAAAATAAATTTATAAATTAATAATTAAATGTTATTTTTATTGATCCGCCCTATTTTTATAGGGAAATTAAAACGTATATTATTATAACTATAACCTAATAACTTAGAAAGGTAGGTTAAATATTATAGTTAGAAATTAATAATAAATGTAAAATTTGTGCCCATTTGTTGACTTTCAAAGAGTGCCATAAATTAGAATAAAAGGTAGGTAATGTATTATAAACATAAACAACATTTTTCATAAAAATGTTAAACGTCTAATTATTTTACATATTATGTTGTTTTGTCTTATTCTTGTAAGTTATTTTATTCATATAAATGAATGCGATAGAACATTCTTATGATTAAAATAGACTGGCAGGAGGTTTATATAAATAAGTTGGTAACTAAATTAATCTAAATTAGTAGCGTTAAGATTTTCAAGTAAAAACTATTTAGATTATTTTGATTGACAGTAAGTGTGAACTAAAGCAATTGACATTACTAAAATTAAAAGTAATAATTTGTATATAAATATATATCTCACAACTTGTCTCAGGAACATAGTTATTGACTGACTAGAAACAATACAAATATATATGGGCTTAGACATAAAAAAATATCAATCCGAAACCCGGTGATAGACCTACTCATAAAAGTAACATAAAAAATTTGCTCAAGGTTAAAATATAAAAAAAAACATTAAAATAAACCGAAGCTGAATACTTATCTCCACTACCTAAAGTGGAAAATAAAAAATAATTAGAACCTTCATGTAAACTGTGTGATCACGTGACCAAGTAAAAAAAAAAAAGAAAAGAAAATCAATTTTGCAGTCTTCATACTGCAATATTGATTTTAATTTTTTTTTTTCGTGACTTTGCTACAAATACATGATGTGTCTACCCGGATTTCGGCCTGGTATGCAATTTACGCCTAACCCTCTATATTTACTTCACCTTATTGATAAAAAAACCCAAAAATATAAATCTATTTTAACTATTTACTTTATTGGAATGACATAAAGTGTAATAACAGCTAGAACAGGTTTATAAGTTTTAGTTTTTATCAATGAGGTATGCAGCTGTTATTCTGGTTATAAACTGAATACTGGAGACAAACAATAACGTGTATAGAGGCTGAACATACTATATATACATATAAGGATAGGATGATAATGATAATGTGATAGGTACTTGTGAACGAGTGCTGCTTGTAGGGACTGGTATGTTCGATTTCGGCTAATAATTATTTCCTTTTGACAAAAATACATTAGCGTATGCTGGTCACTACATTCTCCTTAATTGAATTTAAAAATGAATCTGTATTTTTAATACAGATAAAGATAAAGAATCTGAGTTTCTGTTCAGTTCTTCTTAACTCGAGAGCACTTCAAACTGACGGTAGATTTGACATAACATAATATGAATAAAGATATTTTTAGTCATTGATTGAATAATTGGAGACAATATTTAATTCGACGACCTCGGTAGTCCAGCGGTCTAGCACACCGCTTTACGACCGATGGTCGTGGGTTCGATTCCTCTCACGGCACAAACATTTGTATTCATGTGATTGTTTGTATCGGTCTGGGTGTTTTCTATGTATATGTATCAGTTATCTAGTACCCATAACACAAGCTTTACCTAGTTTAATTTGGGTCTAGATGGCGCTGTGTCAATTGTCCTGAGATTATTATTATTATTATATTAATTTTCTATATAGGTTTATTAGCCATTTACTGTTTCTACATATGGAGATGTAAGTAAATATGGTATAGAGTACGATGTGCATTGTACTTATAAGTTATATAGGTGTAATGCACCTTCTTTATGTGGAGATAATACTGATATTTATGTAAGTGTATGTTAACTTATTTCAAAATTTGCCATCAAAATATCCATTCTATTCATTATAACCAAAACAACAGCCAAAATATCTAATTAGGAAATCGAAGCGACAAATCGATTATTATTGCTTAATCGAAATCGTAAAATAGTATACAATGAATTATTATAACGAGACCGCTATAAAATGACTTAAATTATTGATATGATTATATTAATAAGGAAAATATTTCGAATACAATGTCAGTATAGCTGTGTTTATACTTAAATAAAGTTTAATCAATAAATCGACTCGTTGAATCGATAATTACCAAATTGTTACAATATTATACATTATTTAAATAAAATAAGTAAAGAATTGCTTTTTGTAGTATTAAATAGAATATAAGATACAACATTTGAACGTATTCACACAATGAAAAGCTGAAATACGTTAGCGTTAAACTCTCGCATTCACACGAAAAATATCGTATATTAATATTAAACCTTACAGGCATTAAAAATAAGTTTAAAACTGAACAACACACGATATCACACGTTGTAAAATTACACTCGGAGATTTATATGTAAAAACCCTTAAGAATAATTGAAATAATTTAAGTTTACAATACAATAATTCTTAATATAGATCAATAACGGCGGTATTCTCTGAACGTTTCTTACAATGCAATAGATATCTACTGTACTATAGCGCGTTTACTTCGTTCATGGCACTCCTAGTAAAATGGGCGGTGCGCGGAATCGTTAGAAGTTCGGGGAACGGAATAGTGCAGTTAGAAACAGAAGAGTTTTTTTCAGACTACTCGAATGCTGGCCGCAGCTGGTCTTTACAGCTTCAACGGAAGATAGGAGTCGAGTACAGACGGCACTCCGAACCCCAATTCTAGAAAGATTTATGGAGTGACTGAAGGTCTAATCCCGTCATGTATACGACTTTAGTCGATCGAGGTAAGCCGTCGTAATTTCGATCCCCGATTGAATTGGACGGGGGATCGATCGGAGGGGGAAAGAGGAGAGCGTGTGCGCGTCTGGACTTACAAAATACAATCCCCCTTTATCCCGACCTCCGTTAGCTCTCCGGAGTGCCGCGCACGAAGTTAACGCGCTATAGAGTTGGGTATCTTCGAAGACGTCGTGAACATAGACAAAATTAGATACAAGAATATCTACATTTCGAATAATTAATACACATTACATTGTCCTATAGTATATAAATTAATTTCATAATTCATTTATCGATATAGTCCTAACTCGTCTAAGGCATTACGTGCCGGTTGCGCCGGCGAAAATGTATTTAAGTTTACATAATTATTACGAACGTTCACGAGTTTAATATAAATATTCATACAAATATAAGTATTGTAGACACATTCATCATACACACGAGTTCATAAAGAATTGCAACTCGGTAGAGATATAGTTATAAAAACACCTATAAGGCAGATCCTTTAAGGAGAAGCGACCGCATTGGCAGCGTTTGTATAGAAATAATGTACATTCACTCGTTTGGAAAATTCATACAAATGAAACAATTTAAGGCCAATAATAGTCCGAATTATGATAATTAAGTAATTTCATAAACTCCTTATGAGTTTTCCATAAACAAACTGTGATTAAATCTATTAAAACTATTGGGCTTAAAAACATTCAATTTACCACTATCATTCCACACCATTATAATCATTAAATACATTATCAAATTATTAAACAAACATAACGACTCTATTCCTTTCATTATTCCTTTTTAATACATAGATTTGTTAACGTAATATCAATATTGAATATACGTATATAGAACACAGCCAATGCGGCCGTTATTTTATCTAGGGATAATAAAAATACAAGAGATCACATTTCTTAGAGAGATTCCTTCAATATCGTTACACCTACCCGTCATACGTAGAATACACGACGTCGTGAAATTGCTTGTCTTTATTTAGAATATGGTATTGAGAATAAGACACCTACATAAACTATAATTATATACTCAGTATGATTACATTATTATTTATTATAACCACACATCCATCCGCTTGACCAGCGCAGAAATTTATGGGCAAGAATTTACCCAATAACAAGGACAAATAATCATTATTTTTTTTAGAATTATTCTAATGATGTTGGCCGTAACTGACATTACAGATTCTAGGGACTAAAAATGAGAGTGAGTGCAGAAGGCACTCCAAGTCCTGCCTGAAAGATAAGACGTTGGGGCACCGGCAGGGGTTCGAACCTTGTTTCAGGCCATTCTAATTTCGATTCCCGTTTGAATGGGGACGATCTATAGTAGGGAACAGACAAATAATGGACCCTAGTACTCAATTGTCCATATATTTTTATGAAAAGTCGAGAGTCTATTTTGAGTGACTAGACGCAGGCTGACATGATTATAACTAAAGACACATATTTTAATAAATATTGCGAACACATGACAACTTAACTTGTACTTTAATTTTTTTAATATGAGTCTATTGAGAGATTGATTTTACGAATTCTCAAAAATTCTCATTATCAAAACGAAAGTTTTATTCGTAAACACGAATGATGGAAGTCTTAGCTCAAAATAATAGAGAGACAATTCAATAATTTATAACTGTTTGCTGCATCTGTCTAGATACCAATACTAGTGTCTAAGCTACGCAAACACTATTATAACAATATGACCTTGACCGTGTGCATTAAAATTGTTTATCGATTGTGCGTACTATGTAAATGCAGTTAAGTAACAGCAAATAGATTCCCATTTTCAAAAATTTAAACGCTAAATATAAACCTAATATATTATTTTTTGGAATAAAAAAAAATAGTATTTTTTAAACTATATAGGTATATATCGAACATTGGTGAGGCATTGCAGCAATATATGCTTTATTCTGTGGTTTAAATTTTCACAAATTTTTCATAAGGGTGAACACCCATTTTAAGAAAAATTGGTGACATACATATGATGTAGTTTTATTATCTCGTACAGTGATCATACCTTAACTCCACAAATTATATACAGTTTCGATTAAAAACTAAGTAAATTTTATTTGTGATGATAACACATTTCTATCTGTAGCTGACTCGCTATACAAAATATCACAGTAAAATATATTATGAATCACTTATGTAGTTACCAATCTATTTGCCGTTATCATGAAACCTGAGATATCTAATACTATGAATATGACTAGCTATGAGTTAACTATGGTCATAATTATTGCTATTACGCTATTTTATTGTACATTCCGTTAAATAACACACTGTTAAACTAAGTATATAAGAATATATTTTTGTACAAGACAAAGACTACCAATGCTAGTCTTGCTAAGATTAAACAGTACCAACATGGAAGTAAATTTATGTATTGCAAAAATAATCGTTTTTGTCAAAATAGAGATTCTATTCTGTCTAGTCAGTCGAAAACAACATACTAGTTAGGTACTTTCTTTTCTCGTTTCGTCAACTTTAATCCACAAAATGGAATTAAATTAGGACAAAATTACTAAGGGCTAATAGATGAATACACACTTTCGATTAAATTAGATGATATTGACCAAAAGTAATTTAGAATAAGTTATAACGCATGTAACTTAAAATAATACAATTTAATTAGGAATTTTAATCTATTAACGAGTTTAATAATGCAAAATAAATCATTTATATGGGTATAAATTGCTAATATATATTTTGACACGTTTCACATCATCATAATAATTCGTATTTCTATATCAATAGATCTATTTATATCATCAGTGAGTCATTTTATATATTCTCAGCAAATATATTTTTTGAGAATCATTAAAATGGGCTTATTGTATATTAATAGGATGGGGCATGGAGATATTTTACAAAGGAAAATTATCCTAATCACCATGATTTCCTTGTACAGTACTTACGTCCATGTTCGTTGTTAGAATCGTAGGTAAAAAATAACTCTAAATATTGTGTTGAAATTGAAGGCAAATTGGCAGCTTTGTATAATAGTTCGAGATCAATTCACATTTAGTGTAAAATGATTATTTTTTACACTTCATCAGTGATTAGGTACTTACGAATTATTTATTATACAATAAATTAATATCCAAAAGTTTGTTCATACTCTGTCAATTTTCGTGGCATTATTTTGTACTTTTATTGTTGCATTATTTATTTAATTTATGGTAGAGATTTTATTTTGTGAAACACGTCACAGATCTCTCTGCGGCATTTTAGCACTCGAAATATCGAAGAGTTGGATGAAGATAAGAAGTTTGATTTGCAAATATGGTTGCGGTTGAAACTTGAAAACCGTTTATGGTTGCTGATATAGAGTTGGTTACTTGTGAGGTCGTCTGAATGCGACTAACGTTCAGATGGATTCCAATTGGCACATTTGTTTGTTACGCCGCCCACGTCGTCCAAAGAGGGCTGCTTTAGGGAACCTGACAACCAACCCACTGCATATCAGCAGATTATCACTATATTCAGTGAAAAATAGTATGAAATCAGAAATAGCTAAATAATTATGTGTTCAGTACAGAGTTATAAAATATTTAGAAAAACATATATGACAGAGGTAGAAATTTCGATGTTTTTATAGCGTAGGAATTTTATTAGAATCAGTTAGATGCTCAATTGAACATTTAAGTACTATCGTTCCATATATAAACCTGGAATAAATATAAATATATATTTTAAAAGTAGACAAATCTAGCAATTTTAAATCTGGTAAAATTTGGCACAGAACATTTATAATTAGGTTTGTAAGTACAAAGTTAGATATATCATGCCATTATAGAGACCATAGACAAAATATTTTTTAAGGTACATATGCCGTTAAACATTTTTTATAATAATAAACACTGCATTTTAAAAATACACCTGTATTATTTTCAATGAAATGAAATAATAATAAAAGCAACTTCCTTCGCTAAAGAGTTAAAATTTGAAATATCAACAAAGTTTTAATTACTTTTAAATTAAATTCTTAGTTATCAATGACATTAACGCAACAAAAGATCGTCAATTAGATGTTGATTATTTGGTAGAAGTTTCTAATTCCAGAACGATCTTAAGTTAACAATTATTTTTTTATCATAATAACCGCATTGCCATAGACAATGGGTGTTCCTTTTCCCGCTATCTTTGAAGTGTCAAAGTTCAATTGTTTATGGTCTACAAATGTTCGTGTAGACTTTCGCAGGATTTTTTTAATCGTTTAATATAATGTTTTTATTTGAACGTAAGCGCTCAACAATAAGTTATAATATTTAATGTTTCAACTCTCAGTCTTGTAATTTAATATCTTAAACCGTTACAATTTGAAATATCCCATCCAGAAACCGTTTGACTTCGAAACATGTCTGTATTTCTGAACATGTTGAGTTGTATGTACTATATTAAATATTTTTGTTACTGGTTCTATATTTAATAATAAAATAATATTTTCTGACTCATTGGTAGGTTACAAACATCCTTAATGGCGGTCATGTCGAAAACACAACAGTTAGAAGGCTAGCCGTAAGGTAACGTCTGCATTAAAGATACCAGCAAATAATTACTCAAATGTGCAGTAACAATTTAACAATTAGTATAACAGAAAATAAAACCATATAAATTTGTTACTGGAGCGGGAACACAACTACTATTTTAATAAAAACCAAAATATTAGTAAAAATGTGTATTCTTCCCAAAAGGGCTCACAGCGAGAAGTAACAAAACAATATTTGGTCAAAAGTGACATATAAAAAATAGATATAAAAAATATAAAGTTTGTAAAAAGAATGGTAGACAAGCTGTCAGTAACAATATTGAAGTTTCTTTACTATAATTAATTACCGCACAAGTGTCTAAAGGTTTTGTTTAAAGAAGATTTTAGAACGTTTTAACGTGTATTTCCGTACTAAGTTATCGTTCAAAATTAGGATAATTTATTTAATGTTATTTAAAAAATACATTTTACAATATTTACAATAAAAAAAAACCACAAAGAATGAACGAAGTTTGTGTAATACAAGTGTTTGTTTGTAAAATTGTTAATGCGCAAGTATTACTAATGTTATTTGCCGGTATCTTTATACCTACGATAAAATGAGAATCGTACGAGAAGATTAAACGACCCACATTTTGTTTCATAAACATCTCAATAGTATTGGTGCAATCAGGTATAGAAAATATGTATGCATAGTGTTAAAACAGCTCTATAAAATATATTTAAGTATACACATTTCAGTCCACAGACCGCCGACTCAGATTTAACCATGGCCATCCCCCTCGGAGCGGCCGCGCCTTCGTCACTGCAGATCCTTAACTGCTTGCAGTATCCTCTTGACGTGGCCGACCTTCGTGACTCCCAGGTCCCGCAGATCCCTCCTGGCCAGCGACAGAAGCTCGCGGCCCGTGACGTCATGCTTCACGAAAGCCTCCGCGTATTCACCCAGTTGAAGTGACTCCAACCAGGCCTGAACTTCCTTGACACCCCAGCCGCGTACTTGGGCCGGGGTGATGGTAGAGGTGGAGCCGCCTTCGGAGACACTGCGGCGTCCGCGGAGCCAGCGCCCGGCGCCGCTCTTCTTCGGAATCTATGGGTTTCGAGGGTATGAAAGACTTCGGCAAGGGTACTCGGGTGACAGTGGAATGTTTGGTTCGGGTGTAGAGGGCGCTACTTTCGCTAGAAATACAATCGGATGCCGTCTAATGATAGTCTACGGTATGCTTTACGGGTTTTCAAGAGTCTCTGAAGGGTGGAGGAAAATAAAATAGTAATGTGTTAGTGTTTTAGCAATAAAAGCTTTTTATGTGCGATATAAAAGAATATAACAGACATACAAATAGTGGTCCAAACATGTCAAGTTCAACTCAAAGAAATGTATTTCCCTTCCCGCTTTCTAACAGGTTCTACTCTTCGCACTATACAAATATTAGAGTTAATATAAACTCTTTCCCCCCCTTTCCCAGCTATTGTTACAACTACTACTAAGAATTATTAATAATAGGGACTACTAGTCTCCATTACTAGTAATGTACCATGTCGAGTCGGTTTGACCTTCACTTGATCCTCTCTAGAAACTCAAGTGGTTAATTCATTCAAATTGATGGGCTAACGGATCTGACGTCATACCTATCTATTAGAGCACGTGGGTGGGTATATTATAACAATATCATATGTTAACTAAATCTGTCATCTAGAGACTGCTAGGGACCTCCGTGACCCGAGATGTAGGAGTTATAATCTTTTTTTAATATCGAAGACTAAATTAAACGCGTAAATGTCAAAATTTCAAATAATATTCCTAACTGTAACGGGGTAGTGGTGCATTTGCGGTACCGATTTGTTGAATCTTATTTTTTATTTTACATTATTAGTTTCAATGTTTATTGTGGTGTTTCCACAACGTAGTTTTAAAAATACTTGTGTCTGTATTACTGTTTTTATTTTAAACATCAGTACGACGTACGGCTGCCACAAAATATATATATTATATAAAAATTGTCCCCAGGTATGGCACGACTTCTTAAGTTAGGTTAAGTTTACTTTAATTGTATTTTATTAGTTTTTAAGTAACTAAGAGGCTATTTTCTGTCGTCGATGCCGGGATCTCGAGGTCTCAACCTTCACCCCTCGATTCTCGAGTATCCTCGAGGTGCGTGCTCACCTCGTCGGCGTGCAGGTAGGCGTGTCCGTCGTGCAGATCGACGCGTGCGAGTTGCGCGCGCACGGCGGCCGCGGCGCCCGAGCCCACGCCGCTCCAGGTACCGCCCTCCACCAGCTCGTGGCAGCTCTCCACCTATTAATCAGTTCAGTTCATCTTAGACTGATTTGCAGGCCTTATAATTAAGACAACTTATTGTATACTTTTTGAAAGTGGAATGTATGTGACGTTCGCAGAATTTCTTGACATAAAAAGAAACAAAAGTATATTGGTACCAGGTGATTGTCTGTCACATAAAAATTTTTTTTCTTCTTCATCTTTCATATTTAATTAAATTATTATGAGTCTTTACATTATAAAAAAATATATACTAGAATTTATGTTTTGTATAGTATTTTTTCTTCGACAGAAAACCTATAGTACTGTTTGATGTTTTCTGTTAAAGTGGTTACTTTTTCAAATTATAATTCAAAGTTAAAACTATAGACTTGATTTTCCAAAGCTAATTATTGAGTTATTTCAGTATTGTACTAGGTGTTTTTTTTTTTACACATGGAAAGAACGAGTATGCGGTTTATCTGATGGTAAGTGATTACCGCCGCCCATGAGCACCCACAACACCAGTGGCATTGCAAGTACGTTGTCGGCCTTTTAAAATGGAATATAAGGTCTTTTCTTGAAGGTTTCAATATCGTATCGGTTCGGAAATACCATTGCTGGATTCTTGATGGGTGCACGAATGCTTACCAAGGTGGCCAGTAGTCTTCGCAGTTGCGGCGCCGGCAACAGTTTCCCGTCGGCGTCTTGCAATGCGTCCGCTTGTGCCGCCACCCGGCGCGCCACGCTTACACTGCTCGACACTCCGCCCGACACACTCCCCTCGCTTATACACGCCAGTTTCACCTGTGTAACACATGTATAAATCATCCGTCATACTCGTGTACGGGTGCTGCTTGTGGGTACTGGTCTGTTCGAGTTACGGCCACTTATTAGTATATTTCTTTTTAAGGAAATATGCTGATGGTCAGTTTTCTCCCTAATTTGAATTTAAAAATGAATCTGTTTATTTGTAAACAGGTACAAGCTCATTTGAATATATGATAATATTAATAAACAAATCCATATTGATTAGAAATTTAATCCCACTAATGCGGAAACTTTACCCGGCAACGAGCTTTGATTAACTTGGGACTAGATGGCGCTGTGTGAATTGCTCAGCTTTATTATTACTAAGAAACAAATCCATATTGATTCAAACTTCTTGCCCGGCAACGAGCTCTGCTTAGTTCGGAACTAGAGGGCGTTGCGTAAATTGTTGGATTATTATTATTATTAAACAAATGAACAGGTACTGACGTGTTTGACGAGCGTGTTGACGTCATCGAGCAGCGCTAGTAGCTGCGCGCTCTCTGCGGCGGCGAGCGGGCCGCGCGCCGCCCCCGCGCCCCCCGCCGCCCCCGCCCCCGCCGCCCCCGCCGCCCCCGCGGGGGTCGCGCCCGCCTGCGCGTGCGCCTTCAGCTGCTGCTTCTCATCCCACGTTCTGTGCGTATCCGTTTGTTGAATGACACTTAAACTTATGGTGCATAAGGTAGCCCTAGCTACAAGGGCCAGATAAAATATTCTTTCTAAACACAAAAAATATTTTATAATAATAATAATTTACTGCTTATTAATAAATATAAAATTGTAGTTCTATCTTCTATCTACAGGGGCCAGGGCCAGATATAAATTTAACAAATTAAGTTACGGCCAGCTGACGGGTTCCCTTTTTAAAAATTTTAATTCATAAGTATTATTGTTTGTAGCTCTGTAGGTGTTTTCTATGTATATTATGAATGTATTTACAAAAAAGTATGTGTCTATATCTACTAGTAATCTAGAACCCATGACATAAGCGCTGCTCAGCTTGGGACTAGATAATGCTGTGTTAATTGTCCAAGGACATTATTATATATAAATTTACCTCAAACTGGTCTCTAAAGCCCTTGATCTGCACAACATCTGGGCTCTATTCTTATGGATGATGCGGACACAGCCAGGAGGCTGGAGCCATGCCTCTCCATCTACTTGAACTGGCACACATTCTTCACCGAGGATGTTAATCTGAACGGCACGGCACTGGGCGATGCGATGTTTTTGAAGATTGATCAGTCTGGACGCCGCCATTTGAGCAGACCCAAATACAGCTACCACCTGTGAAAATAAAAATTTCAATCAACGTTGTTAACGAAATCCAATATATAAAATATTACAAATTTTTCATACAAACAATCATACTCATGAATACAAATGTGCGAGCAATCAAACCCGCAACGATCGGAAATAAAGCGGTGTGCAAAACAGCTAGACCATTAAGGGCGTCAAATAATTAAGTAATAACAATTTAACAACTAACCTCAAGAATTCTGTCATCGAACGAAGGAGCGAGAAATATATCATCAGCCCTGGTACCGCCCCAGAAGTTGGTGCCGCCCATGAACGACGGGATGTTGAGAACTACAATGCCTTGCAGCTCAGGTAATGGTATCCTTTGGCCGTCGCATTCCAGTTGCACTCGCTGTCCTAGATGTCTAGATAAAAATAATATTGTATTAACAAATTTCTCATGTACACGATATAAATAAGTTATGTCTAATTTTATGGCAAAACATTTTCAAATAAACATAGTCTGGCATATGTAATACACTGTGTTTCCCAACCTTTTCATGCCTCACCTTAGTCTTTCTAAAATTCTTATGCCTCCCCTATGTAGCATACATAACTTATAACATTAATTGAATTGTTGAAACAGTAAGTACATTTCAAAATATAAATGCAAAACAATCCCTCTTAACAATTAAACAGACCATCTAATAATTTACCTGTAAGTCCTGTTGACCCACTCCTTTGAACCGAGCACACCGTACCACATATAGTTTCTAGCCCTCGACCTGCACTTCTCAGGATGTTCTTCCCTCTTATTATGGAAATCGAGAGTTATTTTCGCATCGATACCAATACCAAAGTAGTTATTCATTACTGCTCTTTCATAAAATCCTTCAAGAAGCGTGTCATCTGGATCCATCAATGGACTGACTGCAGCACATAAGGCGTCGGCATTAGCAAGCAGACACTGGCTGATGAAACCCTGAGTGACGTGCGGCCAAGCTGGTAATTGGACTAGCGGATTGATTATTGGTAGTTTTCTGGCTTTTTCGCTGGCATCCGACTTTGAAGCTCCCATTGCTCCACCTTCTCCCCATATAGAGGATACTGATGTTGATAATCTGGATTTGTTGAAAATAAAAGCTTAAATTGTTATTTCTGACTCTATAAAAACTGTAATATATATACGATGTACAATATTAAATTATATTAAATAAGTAATAATAAACTCTTTATTGTGTACATAGAATAAACCTACCTACATAAATGCATACATATATACTACATATTGAAAGATATCAGAAAAAAAACAGAAAAGGTGAACTATGAAGAGAGATAATGAGATAGTATAGTCTATTTTTAAATGTTGCTTGTGTTTGAGCTGATCGAGTGAGCTGATGGAGAGTGGTAAGAGTTACAGGGGCGAATGGCTCAATCAAATGAAAAATCATTGAGGAAGAAAACGTGAATTCTTTTACTGGTAGGATCTCATTTCAGTTACACCATACATGATATAATAATGAGAGATTATACTTACTTGTCAGGTTCACCGGGCTTGAAAAGACTTCCACATGATATTCTTCTAGTCGCTGCTGGGGAACAACTTAAAAACTTTCCATATTCGGGGTCTGATCCTAACAGTTTTGGGTTATCCGACTGCCTCCTCTCTCTTGCTGTCGCTATGGTTGGCTCTGGTGAATACACACTTAAGGTATCTGTTCCTTGGTCGAACAAATCACTTAATACTGATGCCATACGACTTCCGTTCTTTAAACTTTTCTTATCGTCGCTATGCGACGGAGATGGAGGTTCAACTACGACACTAACCTGAGGGAACGATGGAATATCCTCTTTATCATCACTTTGGTTTTCAGTGTCATTGTGAAATGGTAAATTTTTCGGTGATCCTTTACTGAAAACAGTTTGACTATCCCTTGGTTCTTCCGCCGTCTTAGGTAAAAGGTGTTTTAAACTGCCATCATCAGCAACACGTTTTTTCAGACTCTTTTTGAGTTGTTTCCTAAACGATTTTCTAGCAATATCGTTGCCTTCTTCGAAGTGCGCTAAGCTACAGTACTTAATTTTTTCTTCTACTTTCGTTGCGTTTTCGATGTAGAATACCCTATTTTCGAATCCGAATTTTTCCACTTCTCCCTCTTTGGGCGTCTTCATTTTCGATATGTATTTCGTTTTGTCATTCTTTTCCAGACTGGGGTTTCTACTATCCATGGCTATGTCTGATACCGTATCTGAAGTGAACAGGGTCGTATCATCGGTGTACGTTTCATTGTCACCATTCTTTCCCATCATAGCCATTAGTACGTCTTGTCCGAGCATTGAACTAATGTCGTCCATTATTGATTCACCATGTATCGTTTCCGAATTCATATAAGTGTCTGAAACTTCGGGGGAGTCAATATGGCCTATCGCAGCGGCTTCCTCTAACTCTTCCGGTTTGACATCGATGATTTCCGATATTAAACTAAAATCGTCACTAAGGTTGGACCCGTCTGAACTAATGGCGTCTATCTCCAAATCTACACTAGAAAGCTTTCGTTCCGGAGTACACTCTCCGCTAATCGGTGTGTCTCTTACGCTCATCTCATGGAAATGTACATCGTCCGTGTAAGGTTTATCGATGTCTATTATAGTCAATTGGTCCGATTCATAAGTTTCTCCCTGTATTATCGAATCTCGCTTATCGCTATCATCTGAGACAACTAGGTTAGGTATGGTAAGACTACTACTATTATAATTGCCGCACTCAACGTCGGGCCTGAAGAGGTTTCTGCAAGAGCTAGTATCACAGGAGGAGAGATTGGAGAGCGAAAGCCTGTCCTGGGGCGAAGCGGAACTGGTTTTGCTGCGCTCGGGCTTGTCGACCTCCAAATTGAATCGTTCAGGTGGGTTGGAGTTTATTAATTTAGCTATGTCTTCATCTACATCTGGAATGCTGCAATTAAATTATTAATTTCAATAAGTATACGAAGTACAGTTCCCGTTTAAGAAATTTCTGCGGATGGTACCGAGAGAATTAAGTATTAAGGTCTAGAAGATTCAACATTGATTTCTTACTTGTCTGGGTGCATGGAGGTAGCTGAAACGGCGGAGGCTGCAGAGGATCGGCGGCTGTCAGCAAACGCTCGCGGCACGGGCAGCGCGGACAGTTCCACCGCGGGCGCCGCCGCCCTCGCCCCCGCCGCCGCCGCCCCCGCCGTCCCCGCGGCCGCTTCTAGCTCCGCGTCCGCGCCCGTGCTCGTGTCCGCTCCGCTCGTGCATGTGTCCAGCGACTCCACCTCCTGGTTTGTTACCGTTTCAATGGCTTGTCGTAAAATCTTTGTCTCTCAGCTTACTGTCTATACGTTGAATAGTTTATTTCGTTATATTTTATGGGCAATATTTGTATTATATACATTACTATATTGTACAATTATGTAGCTATTAAACTGTAGTTTAAATAGCGTATATTTTTTGTAGATTATGTGAAATATTATTTTTTATATGTATACATGTATGACGTCTACGATCTCTCATTATTTTCGTTTAATAAAACATTCAGATTTGTGCGTTATGTTTAAGATTCTCACAGGACTTAATGCACTCATAATATAATTTGGATCTATTTACCTAATTAGCATATAATTAAAAATATCGTGACAAATGTAAAAGTGGTCTATCCTAAAAATTGATGTCCACCTGCGGGAGGAGATGGTAACAGCTGCTTCGCACCTAAAGTGCAGTGCGAGGTTTCGCAGAAAGGAGCGTAGGGAGCGCCCACTTGCGGGTGATGGCTGCTCACCTGCGAGTGGTGACTGCTCACCGGTAAGTGGTGACTGCTCACCTACGAGTGGTGATTGCTCAACTGCAAGTGGTGACTGCTGACCTACGAGCGGTGACTGCTCAACTGCAAGTGGTGACTGCTCACCTGCAAGTGGTGACTGCTCACCTACGAGTGGTGACTGCTCAACTGCAAGTGGTGACTGCTCACCTGCAAGTGGTGACTGCTCACCTACGAGTGGTGACTGCTCAACTGCAAGTGGTGACTGCTCACCTGCGGGTAGAGGAGCGCGAGTGTGCGCAGCAGGGAGCGTAGGGCGCGGCGCACGCTATCGGCGCGGCCAGCCAGTGCGCATCCGCGTACCGCCCAGTTCAGCTGTTCCTGTTAGGCCACAACTATATATTACTACGACATACTAACTAACCATATATATAAACTAGGGTAGACTTATCTAGGCATGAAATACGATACGATCTGTTAAATTCTAATAGTAAAAAGAATAAAAAGGCAATACTTTCTATAAATCAGTCAATTAATTAGGATAATTGTATCGCGTATAAATTTTAACACCTATTTCTGATCAGGTAAACAGATTAGTAATAATAACAGATAATAGAATATTAATTCTTTTCCATTATTAAAATTGTGTTTTTGTTGCAATTGTGTTTTGTTTTTAAGAACCGCATCGAACGTGGTAACTTCAATAAAATATATATAGTTATAATTAACTATTGGGTGGTTTTCATAGCATAAAAACACTAATTCGTAACCCAACATTTTGGTCCTTTGAGCCGGATTTGTAACAGCGGCCTATGGTTCCTAAACAAATAATATGTGACGGCAGTAAGTGGAAAATCTCAATTTTGGAAGCTATATTTATAAAGTATTAATCGTCGTAATTATTAATACAGCAACTTAGTCATGAGTGTCCTTACTTTTTCAGTCTTTTCAATACTGCCTTTCTCAGCAACAGGCTGCACTTCGGGTTCACTGTCGCTCGTCTCCAGTGGCTCCCAAGACCTATTGAAGAAGAATTAGTTTTTTTTGTTATTAAAAGGGTTTGATCGGATATATGACAAAATAGAAAAATAGTTTATTAATAAAATCTTATTCAATATTGATAATAATTACTTTACCGATAACTTTATTCGGTTCATTTTTGGGTACTCACTTGCAGGTGGCGTGGTCGTACGTGAGGTGCACGCCTGCATGCAGCAGCAGCGATAACCAATTTGCTCGCGTGTGTCCTCTGAGGTGGGTACTCACTTACAGGTGGCGTAATCGTGCGAGGCCCGCACCGCCAACAGTAATCACTTGTGGATGGCGTGGTCGTGCGCGGCCCGTGTCGCCAGCAGTACTCACTTGCAGGTGGCGTGGTCGTGCGCGGCCCGTGTCGCCAGCAGTACTCACTTGCAGGTGGCGTGGTCGTGCGCGGCCCGTGTCGCCAGCAGTACTCACTTGCAGGTGGCGTGGTCGTGCGCGACCCGTGTCGCCAGCAGTACTCACTTGCAGGTGGCGTGGTCGTGCGCGACCCGTGTCGCCAGCAGTACTCACTTGCAGGTGGCGTGGTCGTGCGCGACCCGTGTCGCCAGCAGTACTCACTTGCAGGTGGCGTGGTCGTGCGCGACCCGTGTCGCCAGCAGTACTCACTTGCAGGTGGCGTGGTCGTGCGCGAGGTGAGCACGTGCGTGCAGCAGCAGCGAGAGTGCGCGGCGTAGCCTGTGCGCGGCCCGCGCTGCGCCGCCGCCGGCCCGCTCGCCCGCCGCCGCCAGCTGCGCGCAGCCCGCACGCAGCGACGACGACGCCGCGCAGCTAACCTCGCCCGCCTTGCATGTACATATCACACGTCTATTGCAGTACAGTTCGATACCCCAAAAGAGCAGAAAGCATTATATGTTTCTGCCAACGAGCAGGTAGCTTTATGCAGTTACGGCTAATAAACTAGTTGGACCAGACAATTATTTGTCCAGAGCGATCCGAGTTGGAAGGACGCTTTGGCGCCTCAGGTCGCCGCAAGGGCCTGACCTGGGAAGTGACCGCGGGGCAGTCGCATCTTCCCGAAAAGCCTGAGAAGGCCTTACTCATGTATCATTAGCAAAACTGTCACACCAGCATTGTGGGCATAAAACACAATCCCTATATACATAACCGTTCAAATATCCATTAATCTTCTTCTACGCGTCAAGTTCTTTCACATTCTACACTACACACCTGCATGATGTCCTGCAAGTTCTTCAATAGCGTGCTCTCCTCTAAGACATCGGGCGGCGCTGGTGGTGGAGGTGGCGGTGCAGTCAGCGCTCTCTCGAAGGTCATTATGGACCACCTGATGTTTACCATTTGCATTACATATGGTTAATTCTTTAACTGTATTTTAAAGTGAAAATTGTTATAGCAAAGGGAACAAACTATATTGTGACACAAGTGATGGTAAGTGTGTGTAACATCAGGGGAATTGCAAGTGCATTGCTGGTGCGCAGCTGATAACAATTCCTTACATCACTCTATTAACAGTTCACAGTCCAGTGAAGAGTCCATTTGAACTATTTCTTAACAAGCAAATTGTTTGCAAAACAGATGTGGTCAGATATGCAGAATTCACTAAGTTTTTGCCAAAGGACCACTATCATGTTCCACATGATCAACTAAATGGGAACAATTTTAGGATTTATAATGTCAGCTTTTATAATAATAATTCTTCATTGCGCAGAGCAAAAATACAGTTTATATTAATATGTAGGTACTACAAAAAGCAGCAATGTATTACATACAAACTATAATAACACTCACCTATCAAGCATTTTGGTGGACGCACGTTCATAGCGCTCGAGCAGCTGTTGGAGATTGGCTGCATCATCACACGAAGCACCCCAGCCTAGAACCCTTGCAAGATCGTTCCCAGTCCCCAGAGGCAGCACAGCTGTTTGTACTTGACGCTGTAAAATATAACAATCATACATATAATGCAACAAAATAATCAGACATACATAAATCGCTACAGTTAGATCTATTTTTTATCTTCAATGTACAGCAATTCGTTGAACTATGATTTGATAGCAATTTGAAACTGGAGAATGACTGTTTTTTTTATATTTCTAGGCGGATGCTACTCCTCAACCGACCCTCGAACCGCAACCGACTTCTCTTATGCTACATAACACACTTTCTTAACCCTCTTAGAAGTTTTGGGTCGGGAGGAAATTGGTCACCGATACCTAGTTTGCGGGCCATTAAGATGTAGAGAACTGACCAGACTTGCGTCTGGTAAAGGTGTAACAATAGTAAAAATATTGGGTGAAGTGATATTAATATAATAAACCTACATATACATATATACAAATATAGATACATACAATAGTAATACAACTATGATGAAATCTTACAAACACAGTGGATTTTAATACCTAATTTGTAACTGCAGCGATTTTTATCTTCTAATATTAGAAGATAAAAATGGCTGCAGTTTCAAATTAGGTAATAAAGAATTCGGATAAAATATACTTACATGCATATCCAACTTATCAACTTCCTGAAGCACCCAACCGACGGAGCCGTCTCCAGAGCATACAAGTACCCTGAGTGGCGCGAAGTGTCTGAACAATCGCAGGCCAAGTCTTGGTCCTGCGCCGCTTAGCTCGAACACTTGCGCTGGATTAAGCAGCTGCTTGAAGCGCCGGAGAAATTTCACTCCTTGGTTGTCACCTTAAAGTAAACCTTGATTTAAAACTTCTTCTTCAATTCCTCAAAAACTCCCTTATCAAATTATGTAATTGTTAAAAAATATTATAAGCTCACAGCAATCTCTCCTGATTGTATTGCATCGTGAAAGGTAGCATACATAAAGTTAACTATTGAGAACATACGGTTATGGAGCTAAAAGTGTTTTGAATATTATACTGTATTTAACCGATATTCTAGTGAGACATGAGATCTGGTAGTAACTTTGGGAAGAAAACGGATACATCAATTAGATAGACAGGGATGCTTCCGTTATCTTCGGCCTCGACATGGCATGTTAGAAGATTTATCAATAACTTATCTATTTTAAGAACAAATAAAGTTCGGTAACACGTTTCCTTTAAAATGAAAATTGATAGTACAGTATCCAACATATCAGAAGAAAGACAGCGTCTAAGGACGCTCGTATAGTACTCGTACCAGGAGTAATCTGACATTGAGGGTGAGGCAAGTGGTGTCAAGTTTCAAGGCGTTTGTGACCCGGGTCTCTACTAACATACTGCCCATCTTCATGTACCTTAAATGTATAGAGGACTACTGGCCGAAGGAGGTGCTGTACTCGCGATACCATGGCAGAATGACGTCGTTAGTGTGATTTACATTATTATTTTATATGTATGTTAGCCTATAAATTATAATATAGCCTGATAAGAATAAATCTATGTATTGATACGTTAAGTAAAAAAGGGGTACAGTTTTGTATACCTTTTTAAGAAAATTGCGTGAACAGAGGATAACGGATGAGTATTATTTAAAGTAAACTATAAGCAAATTTTTTCATGCTCCTGGAAGGAATATGAAATTTCGCATGCTTATAGTTAAAAAATCATTACACACACTACCATTATTTGACAAACACTATAATATATATATATACTCATTTGTTTATTTGTTATTGCTGCTTAAAATTTTTTATGTATTTTTTATTAAGGTCCAATTTCTAGTAAATATAAATATGAAAATACTTTGCTTCTTACCTGAACGAGAATTAACAAAGACAATAAGCGGCGAAGCGTTTGCTGGTCTATCAGGTACCCAGGCGTCATCAGGGCCGACGGAGTGCAGTCTTGTTGGTGGTACAACGGAGGCGCGCGCCGGGCCAAGCAAACACGCTGCCCGCCAGTTGGGCTTGCAGGCAGCGTGTACGCATTTGCGACACCACACGCATCTGAAGTCTTGGAGCCTAGACAAGCATAAAGTACATATCTCAGGGGTGAAGGTATTAATACTGGAGACTATTGCACCATTGCTAGGAATATACAAGGTCGATCTCCATGTGTGGAAACCCTTGTGGTTAATTCCGAACGAATTTGTCACGAAAGGCAGATTAATCTGACTTCATCCTTTTTTTTATTCTTAGCTCACTTCCGCTCTGCTTTTCTATATATTAACAGTAATGTAACGTATATACTAACATGCGCAAAAAAACTATCGTTTACTTCATATACTTTTTTACAATACTGCATAATAAAACAGTCGTATTTGTTAAAACCAAAGGTACATTTTGTATAAAGTTTTCTATAATGTTTGCGTAGGTTGAAGTCTGGATACATTTAGCACACTTAACGCTTTAAGGGTTTAGGTATGGCGGTGAAATTACTGCATAGGGAGGCGTAATAACTTTGTCCTCAGGAATGCATGAGATATCAGGAAGATATAGCGCGTATTATAGATATAGGAGCATGGGTCGTCACAATATGTTTTCAATATTGCCTTTCATTTACATAAAATGTACTTTCCATCAAGAGGGTCTAAAAATTGTTCCCATTTTAGTTAGAACATATAAATCATATTTTCAAATTGTAACTAGATAGAGCAAATTAAAAGTAATTGGTGCTTGAACCAATTTCATGTCGTTTTATTCTTCTTATTTTACACTAGACTGCGCGTCGTCTAGAGCCGTTTATGTTCTTGAGACGGCAAGCGACTGGAACAAAAGTTCTCAACACTTTTGTTATCCACTTGTGTGCTTCCCGCCAAAACTTGGCAGTTTAAAAGTAACAGTGCAATATAAAACCTATTTACTTATACGTATAGGTTTCATTGAGTTATTAATTGAATTTAATAGTCAGTATATTTTTGTTTTAATAACATCATTCAGGTGGACCAGTAGTTTATTTGAACAAAAGACTGTCTGCGATGTGTTGTAATAAAATTTTATTTGCTACTTGCAAATATAAGTATTACACATCCTTACCCATTTCGCTGGTGGGTGACGAACTGTCTCTTTACTTAAGAGGAAACATTTGGCCCTGTACCTATACTAAACAGAATTTTAATAATGTTCTAATAATAGACACAACTAAATTGGTGAATTGTAAATACATATATCTACATTGGTCAATTAATAATATACAATATAGGTACAAACAACGTGTTTGTAACGTAGTGTGTGTTCATCGGCCATACGCAATAAAGACAGCATATCAGTGTATTGTTTGCTGGAGCAGAATAACACTGTCAGGTAATATCCAGGGAAATACGAGAGGACGCATTCAACAAGATCACCGCATCAAACCAGCCTACTATACTATAACTAATAGCAATTAAAATAATGACCAGTGAGAATTAAAAAAAGAAGAAAATAATATGGACATAACATAAAATAAATTGAAAATAATATCCCTCTAATATTCTTGACTATGATGGGTGCGGCTTGTGGGGCTAGCTCTGTTCATTTTACAAACACTTATTAGACTATTGATAAAATTGCAATTTGAATTTAAAAATAAATTTGTATAATTGTAAACATGTACACACATATTTGAAAAGGATACGAGCAGAGTTTCTAGTCTGTTCTTCTCAACTCCAAAGCATTATGAACTGACGGTAGATTTGACATATCATAAGAGTCTGATAGACCTATGTATATGTATAAAGATAATTTGATTTGATTGAATCTCGACATAATAAAATAAACAGAATATATAGAATAAAAGAAAACAAACTTATTGCACAGCGGCGTGTTACCACTATCACAACATAGACGTTTATTTAATCTTCTAGTTTAAGCAGATTAAATCAGACAGATTAAATCTAAGTACATAACTTTCATCTAACAAGCATGCGAACATTTTCGACCGTCTGTGACCGCACAGCGTTCCCAGAACCAGAGACAAGAAAATCATTACATTCTGTCAAACTGAAATTATTGGCGCAAACAAAATTCTTATATATTGGTATAAGCGGTAGGTGCATATACTATAAATAATAATTTTTATTTATTTATTTAATAAAACTTTAATGCACAAATACAAAAATAAAGGTGCATATGGCGGACTTAAAACCATAAGGCATTTTCTACCAGTCGACCATAGGGCAAACAGAATTTAGTGGGCGCTGCATTTGGGTAAATAACATGAAATAAAAATAATAAAAGGAAGTAGGTATTAATAAAGTTAATAAAATAAAATATATATCCGAGTAAATATATATACTTAAATACAAATACATAATAATTAAAAATCACATAGATATAATATTTACATACACACAAATAGATGTGAAAGTGCAATATAATTTTGATGATAAATTGATGTTGTAAATTTATTTACAAAAGCAATTGGAAAGATGTTTTCCGTAATTTGGATAGAAGAAAAATTTGGTAGCACAAGACTTTATGTCTAGGCGCAAAGTATTCCACTGTTTAATTGCCTGAAGCATGAAAGACTTAGACGAAGCTCGTATGAAGCGTACGATGAGTAGGAACGTGCAAAAGTAGAAAGTAGTAATTTTGTATATTAAAAGAAATTATATTTATAAGTTATGTTGTTAATAAAAAACAAAAAATATGTTTAAAAATGCGGGTAAAACTAGTAAGTGGTGACAGATGATAATTGATAAGCGACTATGTAATCTATAAGTACAGCATTGTCTGTAAGTGGCCAAATATACTAAAAAATAAAATCTTTATACAATTTCTATTGCTTAATTCATTTATATTATTTTTCTCTATCATTAGTAGGAGAGAGACCACAAATATTAATTGCTGAAATCTAACCACTGTTACTGAAAATGTTACGACTACTTACGACTATTGGTAATCAAATTCCGACCGTTATTGAATCTACATCCATATTGTTACATGCGTATCATCTCTGAACTGCTGATGGTCAATATATTCTTCCAAATTTAAAATTTATTAATGAATCTGTATTATTGTAAACATGTACAACCTTTCTTCCCAGCTCGAAAGCACTCCTAACTGATGGTAAATTTGACATATCATGAGAATCTGTAATAGACCTATATGAATAAAAATATTGTGATTTGACTTGATTTGAACGAGGCCTCAGACAATGATTAGAGTTTGGCCATAGCTTCGAAACCTAGGGTGGGCTGTTCGACCACAAAACTACGACATGTGCTAATGGTAGCGGAATTAAAAAAACAATATAAATCCATTAAGTAATGATATGGACTTTCTCAAAAAAACACCAAAATAAAAAAAGACATATTTTTTAACCTACATGATGCAAAGTAAAGTACTGATATTTAATAAAGATGTGAAAAGGATATTCAATATTAAAAATAGTATGCCTACATCGATTAAAAAGTTCTTCCTTAAAATATATTCGTCTAAAATTGCGAGCATAATATTTCGTAGTAAATCCTCTATTCATTCGTAAGAAAAGATATCCTAAATTGGGTCCGCAGGAAAGTTAACTCCGACAAAGGAAGAATACGTTAGGCGATTAAATATAGCACTGGATTCGATACATGACGAAGGATAATTGTAAGCGAATTTATGTAAAGTTACATTAATAGTGGGCGGATAAACCTCTGCCAGGTTTCTAGAAGTATTCTACTTATTTAGAGAGAGAAAGATGACGTAGAAACTTACGATATACAAATTAAACGTGTCTTGAGATTACGGGTTAAAATCGAAAATCTCTCTTTCTCTCTCTATTAATTTATATTTCTGAGCTATCAGACAATTAAGTTTGATAAGGGCGAGTATACTGGATCTCGGTAGGTAACTGGACACTACACACTACTGGACATAGGTCTCTCCCAAGGCACGCCATTGGGCATGATCTTCTGCCCTTCTCATACAGTTATTATCCGCAACCCTACGTATGTCATCACTATAGGTCTATAGCACCTGGCAATAGCCTAACCATCTCAATAAAAATATATTTTTATTGAGATGGTTAGGCTATTGCCTATGGCTATGGCTTGTTATCTATTTCAATTAATTTATATAAGGTTTTATATAAATTAATTGAAATAGATAACAAGCCGGGCGGAGTTGCTAGTTTTAGATGTCCAACATTAGGTCTTGTCTATCTTTCAATGGGGTGGGTAGAGATAATACAACGCCGACGCTCCTATTCAAATAGAGCTCTTGACCTGTTTCCCTTCTACATCCATCAGCCTATTCACACAAGCTCTCCAGTTGCAAGTACATTTAACTTGTCCCATTTACGGCCAGTCACATGTCTATTTAGTTCTTTTAGGAGTTACGTCACACTTTCATGATTTTTGGCTACTCTCTCATCTTTGTTACGGTTGGTCACATTTGCGAAACTCCCCCCTCCTAGTGACCTACTTTACAATTTTACATTTATTGTTACAGGAATTGGAAATAAATGGTGCAGCGCAGATTAACAGTTTGTTCTTACTAATATCCGAAACGGCTGGACCGATTTCGACGGGACCTTGATTCGCAGATAGCTAATATTATAAGGAGTAGTTTAGGCTTAAGTTTATTTTAGAAATTTTATTTTAATTCCACGCTCACATTTCGACTAATGTTACAAGGAGTAACTTAAGCTACTTTTAGTTTAGAAATTTTAATTCCACTCGCACGCACGAGGGTGAACGGCTCGTGAACTATATAATCGAAGCAAACATGGCTAATAAATTAAAAAAACATAACATGAGATGTCGTACGTCATGTTATATTAAATTTTAAACGAACCTCCGCAACTCCCGTGAGGAATACCTATAAGTATTTGTAATTATTAAATACGTGACATCGTTCATAATTCCTCGACTTTACCGGATTATATCGAACATGTGGTAACCCTCCATACTGAAATATGATTTTCTTGCGTTAAATTCAAAGTATTACAAAGGATATTTTTACATAAATTTCTATAGGGAATATAATATAAAGCTAAAGAGTTTGTTTTGTTTGTTTGAATGTTCTAAACTAGAAATCTATTGCTTCAATTTCATTGTTTAGTGTTGGATAGCGCACTCATCAAGGAAGGCTCTACAACAAGAATGTCGTCCACTCCTATTTTATAGCATATTTCAAAGAAAAATGTTTCAAAAACAGTGAAAACTCAACGCCGATAAAGTTTCGTGGGTCAGCTATAGCACAGAAAAATTGGCCTTTTCTTAGACGAACTGAATATACACACAAACATTCATAAGAATCGGTCAAACCGTTTCGGAGGAGTTTTGTTACAAACACTGTGACCGTGAATTTTACATATTAAATATATAATAATCTAGGTATTTATGTATGTATAAATATGTATATTTACAGTAGACATTTTCTTTTTAAGTAGGCATTTAAACAGAAAACAAGTCATTCGAAAGGACCTTTAACAATTCATCCTCAAAAGGGTTAAAAAGGGATTGAAATTTTGTACGGAATTTCGTTAATTTTATATACAATACTTATATAAACTTACAAGTAGAACCTAAAAAGTATATCCAACTGAATGTAGATTTTACCTACGAAATGTAATTCGAATTTTGGTATTGATTTCGGATTCCTTCTTGAACTGAAACTTTCTTTCGTTCGTTCGTTTTTCTCACGCACAATTTCCAACTTATTCTTGTGTTACTTACATATGTACATATAAGTTTATTCCTATGAGTAAACCAATCTAATAAACATCTTTGATTATCGAACGAAATCATTGGGTTGAAAGTAGTTTTTGTCATGATTACAGCTTGTTTAGCTATTACTAAATCTAAACCAAAACTCCATTTCAGCTAGTTAAAGCTCGAAATCGAAGATGTAAGTTCGGTTGGACATCTTTGCATAGTATAAAACAAAATCACTGACGCTGTCTGTTTGCTCATACCTTTTAAATTCCGCAACGGATTTTATTGAAATTTTCAACAATAGATAGAGTGATTGAAAAGGAAGGTTTATATGTACAATATGCGTGTTATGATACAGAACAAACCGAGAAATTGAAAGATTTGGAGCACATCCGTGCGAAGCCGGGACGAGTCGTTAGTTATTTATAGAACTAAAAATAAATTGTTATAGCCTAGTGGATACTGAGCTTTGATTTACTGTACCTTACTAATATTATTTAGAATGATTTATTTTTTTGTATCTACGCTCTTTTGTTGTTTTTCCTTATTATTACTTCATATGTATCCATATTCTTATTTTATATTATTGTGACATCATTTCTTTTTGTTCGTATTACCACAGATAACGTATTACTAACAATTATACTTAATATTTTGACATTTGAATTATGTAAGTATGACAAATGTTTTACAAATAAAGAATCGTGTATCTTATATTCTACGGTAAAACAAAAAATTAATATATTTCACCTATTAAAAACTAGTTTCAACGTGTAACATAGGCTGTAGTCCTCGGAGTACCTCGGTATACAGTACTTAAAATATCAAATAGAGACTTACAATCAGAAAACAAAGTAGCTATCGCAAAGATGAAAGCTTCCGCGTCATACAATACGGCTTTGTTCTCGGATATCCGTTTGATTCCCCGGATACAAAGTATTAAAGCCAAGGTGGTGCATAAATACAGATATACGTTACATTCCGTATAAAAAGCACTCCCGGATAATCCCGGAAATGAACGGTTTTTCAACGGATATACTGCTGTCAGAGAGATACTTTTTCAAACGTATTTTAGTATTGGCATTCAAGGCGAGATACGAAACGGGGAATTAAAAATTACTTCAAATAATCTAGCTACATTTTTATGAGTTCAAGTTATGTATGTTTCTCTTTTAATTTATTTTTTAATGTATTTTGTTTTTAGAGAAATTAGTAAAAATCTTACTAATAGGATGTAGGGATGTTTTAAAAAAAAAGGTATATACAATAGATTGCAATACCGATTGAATGACATACCATTCCTTAGAAAATATTGTTTTTAAAATTGGTTTATTAATAACTCACTGTGTTAGAATTAGGTTATGAAACAATACTAATTAGAATACATGGTTAATGGAAAAGGGATTGTTAGAAATTTAGATTAACAACCCCATTGATAGAATGTCAGGTTAACTTCTAAGAAATTCCTGGAAACCATCTTCCATTCTAACTTGACTTTATACTCATCATCCTCCACTGGTGCCCCGCCAGAATATACCGCTAACTCAGACGTGTGCACCATTCCATTATAAAAAATGTTTTTTTTAATTTTATTAACATACGTAATTTATAATATATTGTTTCAATCAAAGTATGGACGTCATTTATTGTGTCTGACTGAATTATCGGTTTCCGCTACGGTTTTGGTTAATTTCGGTTACGGCAGTACATAATCGATACCCGACCGAAACTGTAAGCACATTCGCCAGTAGTGATGTCTAAATTCCTTGAAAGTGTAAATTATATCAAAAAGATTTCTTATTAAATGTTTTTATCATTTGTAAAATAATAAGAAATCTGAGGAATGGAACTTTTATGAACAAAGATACAACAATGAAAAATAAACTGAATAAGAAACTTTCATTTTCGAAACAGACGTCGAAATTGAGTTTCTGTTTCGCCCGTAAACCCTAATTTCGGAGGAACGCTATTCATCTTGCAGTCCCGCTGTCGTTTTAGTGACACTGTGGAAATGAAAGAGTTAACGGTCATAACTCACCGAAGTACGGAGCCACAGGTCTTGTCACATACGTCACACTTGGCTGCCACAGGCAAATTGCCCTCCAACCACTGGTGCGGCATTATTATGTTCTGTTGACAAAATGCAGTTGTTAATATTATTGTTATCTTAATAAGTTAATGAGTTTGCAATGATAACAAAGACTGTTATTTAACACCTCATTAACGCCACTAATATAGAATTTTCAGGAGTGGTCAAATGCGAATATATAACGTTCATGGTTTTATTAACATTATTTTATTTTCTATTTATATTCTAAATCTGAAACAGAAATAATCTTAATGCGAGCACTTTAGAATAGTCATATTTTTTTATTCGGAACACAGATTCAACACAAGAAGAATGAGCAAGAAAGTTTTGTGTTGCCCTTTTGAATAAATGTTTTTTTTTAATATATAATTATACAATAACAAGTAAAAGGCATGCGATAAAGAACTTAGAAAGTCTTATATGTTCGTCTCTATATTCATATATTTCTGTATGTCTATTCATTCTTATAGTTTTGACTTATTATTCGAACACGTATGTATCTAGTGAACTCACTATCCTATAACTTTTTCTAGGTTTGTTGGAAAATATCTCTTTTTAAAGATAAACTCACCCTTGTACATTATATTCATCGTATTGCTGTTATTTTTCCTATGTGTGTTTAACAAAGAATAAAAAAACTATGGTCGTATGTTTATAACTGGGCCCAATTTATTCAGTCCATTCGTAACGATTAACTATTCCCATTATACGCACGTTCAATTCGGATTCCATCACGTTTTATAATACCGGTATTCCGGTATTTTCGCCTTGAATAGCTGAAATGCCGGCTCGCTTAACAGCCGCTATCGGGAACAACATTTTTCCTCGGGGCACGGGCGTGGAATGTCTTCAACTGTATTCAAAAGCCTGTTTTTCATTTATCTTGCAAAGTATTTTTGCTTATATCTGTACTCGAGGTAGGGAATGTTTTATTAAAGTACTTTATAACCCGTTGGAGCCGCGAGAGTAATGGATTTTTCATGACAAGTAAAAACTGGCTCGGAGTGCCACCATTGTCGTTTTGATTATTAAGTTTTATTACACCCGGACTTGTGTCGCTAGGGAAAAAACGGGGACGAACTTCTTAGCATTCCATGGATTCACCATTTACTAGACGTGTCTATCATGTGGCAGAGAGGGACACTCCGAGCAGTTCCGAGACTTGTAACATAGGTGTAGGTTTAGGAGCCCCTTACTGACGTACGCCAACCTCCACTGCATGTGTTTCTCTCCCTGCTGAGCCAAATCTGGTAGAAAACTGCTATTACAGTTTTAGATATACGATAGCTAGATAGATATAGATACGTTCTAATATCGAACTTACTGCAGTTCTAGACAGGTCAAGATCTTATAGAAGATTGTAGAGAAATTCGCTGGTATACCTTTCGCTCCCACTTCGATAGCATATTAACCACATAGTAATTTTTAGTTAACTCAATGTATTTTTCCTGTATGTATTAATATGTAAAAAAAACTTTTAGAATGGCAATTGTTTGTATTGATTCATTTAGAAGGTTTCATGTGCATATCCATGCAAATTAAATCTTACGGCCCGCCACAGTTAAGATAAATAATGTATGTGTGAAACTTTTTAATGATGCAATATTCAGTGGATTTACAGCGGTAAAAATAATCTTTATTACATCTCACAAGAGTTTTATGTAAGATAATACAGTTGCTAAGGAACAGTAGTAATTTTAAATGTAATGGATTTCTTTTCAGCAAATGTACCTAATATTTAAACACCATTACAGGTGTGGCGATTATACTGGCAGCGCATTGCAACACAGTTGTCTGTTTATATTGCTTGATTGCACTAATAACAGCCTGTCCTAGCTAGTCATATAATCTCTTCCTTTCTTTTCTTTTATATATATATATATATATATATATATATATATATATATATATATATATAAACACCTCTTTGGGCACTTTGTTGATCACGCCACAACCTAAACACTTGCCGATTCCACCTTTTGCACTGAATAACTTGACCTCTATCGCGTATATCTCAGGCGGTATGGCAACGTCGCATTCTATTTTGCGATGTGGCCATATATATTCGTCGATAGTACGATATACTCGACACTTTTTTTACTAATAATTCGTGACTGAATGGCTCCGAACGGCTAAATTTTTGGTATACACAAAGACTTTTTGGCTCTGAATATATTCCAAAAATCAATTAATTATGTTGATCACTTTATATACTCGTCCTTACTGCGATACTTATTTTCATCCGAATATATATAGATACCGTAACGGTCTATCAATTATGAATTTATTAATTTACTAATGTAGATATTTTATATTCGCAATGCTCCATACATGCAAGCTCCAGCAACGGTGGAGGCAGGGTCCCCCCTGCACCGTACACCGCACCCCGCGCACACAAACAAATTAGATATTTTTTGAATACACAAAGACTTTTTGGCTCTGTATATATATTTCAAAAATCAATTAATTATGTTGATCACTTTATATACTGGTCCTTACTGCGATACTTATTTTAATCCGAATATATATAGATACCGTAACGGTCTATCAATTATGAATTTACTAATCTAGATATTTTATATTCGCAATGCTCCATACATGCAAGCTCCAGCAACGGTGGAGGCAAGGGGGAGCACCGTACACCGCACCCCGCGCACACAAACAAATTAGAATAAATTAAATTCATAAGATTATTTATATATTTCGACTGCCTCGGTGGTCACACCGCTTTACATCCGATGGTCGCGGGTTCGATTTCTCGCACGGTGCAAACAATTGTACTCATCGGTCATCGATTGTTTTCATCGGTCTGGGTGTTTTATATGTATATTATATATGTATTTACAAAATGAAAATATCTATATCAGTTCAGTCTCAGTCTGTGTTAATTGTCCAGGGCTATTTATTATATATTTATAAACGGTTATCTTTTTCCATCCCACCGCTCGCTATCGACAGTGAATTCATAGAAATGTCACTCTAAAAACAATAATAGTTTTGTTTTTGTATTTCAAATACTAAATGCAAAATAGGTATTTTCAAAATACTTTTTCAAAATAAAGTACCTTTTGAATTTTTGTCCAAACCTCAGATATTTTATTTATTTTAGGTATATCAATCATTACATAGTAATATAAAAACAAAGTCGCTGTCGCATCTAACAGTACATAAACAAAGAAAGAAGACTTTTTGGCTCTGATACCGTAACGGCCTATGAATTATGAATTTATTATACCTAATCTAGATATTTTATATTCGCAATGCTACGTACATTGTAATATCCGCCTCCATTCATTGTAACGGTGGAGGGACTAAATAGTTGAATAAAACTGAATAAGCAGTTGCTCCACTCTATAGGTACTGCGTCGTCGTCGTATGCTGTTCATTTTTTCACTCGTTTTGGCGCCAAGAGAGGGTCACATAGTCGTGGTCAAGTTAAGAACTTATAATTTAATTTTGATAACAATAGATACAAGTAAAAAGTAGGTATTATATTAATGTACGTAAGTACTGTACTTAAAAATATTTATTCTATATTGTACATTTGAAAAACTTATCACTTAAGGACTTGTGTGACATATACACGTACATACTGCCATTTTGTCTTAAAGACATCCAGAGAAGCTTTAGATTTATCAAATACGCGGGGTGCACCGACCTTTGACCTTATAACACCTGATTCGCGCGTAACGAATTACATTGCTACTTTTTGGTATTTTATAGTGGATATTTCACTATAAAATATTATTATTTCTTTAGATTATGACATAATAGCATAGTTTACATGATTTTAAGGGAAACATACGATAAAAAAAATTCCCGTAAAATGTAAAAGATAAAAAATGGTTATTGTTGGTTATCCTTGAGAGATAGACATATACCATCACGGACTTTTTTGTTGACCTTATTTTGATACATCTCAAAGCACTAGACAATACGCATTTTCATTAAACAGTATTGTATTTTTTTTATTTATTTAACTTTAATGCACAAAAAAAATTGTACATGTGGCGGACTTAATATCTTGCCGCGTTATTTACCAGGCAACCATGAGTGGTGCAGCGAAAGATTATTGGCGGTGCACTAATATAAATAAGAAATGTCAAAAAAAGATTTATAAAGATAATAAAGATAAGCAAAATATACATTTCTATAAAAAAATAACAATATACATACATAAATATATAACCCATAAATGTATAAATAAATACATAATGATCCGATAATCAAATTATAAGTACAGTCTCAAATTGAAAGTAAGAAAAACAGAAAATATAGAGAGAACTATAGGGATATAACAGAAAGATGTGAAAAAAGGAGGACAGTAAAAAAGTTACAAATTTAAATAATGTTCCCGCAATTTCTGTTTAAATGAATTTATTACATTATTATATATATTAGGCATACGACTAGCCTTATGCTGTTACTTTTTTTTTAATCTATACATCTATACATGTAAATAAAATTGGAGTGTCTGTTTGTAATATTGAAATAACCGTTTTTTACTACCTGCATATGAATATAAATACGGTACATACACCAAAATAACATATTTTACAAGTTTTGTCTGTCCGTCTGTTTGTTCCGGCTAATCTCTGAAATAGCTGGACCGATTTTGACGGGACTTTTTTTGGCAAGTAGCTGATGTAATAAGGAGTAACTTACGCTACTGTTATTTTAGAAAAATAAAATAAAATTTCACGCGGACGAAGTCGCTGGGGCCAGCTAGTCTATAGATATACCGAGATTTAATATTTAAGTTGCTATTATGTTGTTGACAAAATTTTACTGTAATGTTACTATTACGTTATCCTACACAATTTGTATTATTTTGGATGAATAAATAAATAAATAAATAATAATCTATACATCTATACATATAAATAAAATTGGAGTGTCTGTTTGTAATACTGAAATAACCGTTTTTTACTACATGCATATGAATATATATAAGGTACATATACCAAAATAACAATTTTTATAATTTTTGTCTGTCTGTCTGTCGGTCTGTTTGTTCCGGCTAATCTCTGAAATGGCTGGA